TAGCAACTTGCATAATGTTCGGTTAAATTAATGTCATTTGGGGTGGAATTTCTTTAAGATTTGTTTCCTGGAGTAGAATTCACACTGTATGAATATTCATATATAGGTGTAGATTTCTGACTTCATTGGAAGATAGAAAAGAAACAGGCAATGATGGATATGTGTACAAACACGGAAGGAGGGCTAGAGGTGGAATGAAGTAGTGTGTTTATTTTTAAAGAGAGGCAGTGTCACATCAAGACTTTAGAAAAACATTATGTTTACTAGAGAGTCCCTAAGTCAGGTAGCTTTACTGTCCTTTAAAATGAGGCGGATGTGTTGAGAAGTGGTGGTGCTGGATGCGAGGGTCTGACAGCTTGGGAGGGCTTCCGGAAGCCCTGGTCGTGTACAAATGCAGGACACTAAAAAATGAGGTGTCATTTAATTGGAGGCAGCTGCTGGTTTCTTAGCCTGTTAGTAAGGGAAACAGCAATAGAATCAGGAGTGACCAGGTGTCAGAATGGTGGCATTGGCAAAATGGGAATCACGAGTGCATATTACGTGGGCTGGACATAACGATCGTTGCCTAATGCTTTTCAAAACACATGTCTGGACAGGATGGCCTCTGGCTTCCTTCTCAATTATTTTATAAAATGACAGGATCATAGCCCCAAGCAGGAGCCTGAGTTGCAACCATCTCAGTTCATTCATTGCCTTTTAACTCCAAATTGGCCACTCTGCAGCTGTCTTGCTCACCACCTTCTTAGTTATACAGAGTCCCTAAAATTTGTCCTTCACAGAGGACCTGGGTAAAGGGCAACCACTGGAGAGTCACATGAAATTCTTTCCGAAACAGCAGAACTTCCCAAGCTTGAACCCAACAACAAGCCTGGCTTTTTCACCAGTGCTATGCCAAACTGACTGCTTTATAAGAGCTGCCTTCATGTTCTTCACTCTCCCCTTTGTGCTCTGTTTGCCTCAGTCCAGGGCTGTCTTCCTCTGGATTGAGCACCTCCCATTTCTAAACAGTTCTGAAACAGGGCGAATCGGTCTGCTTTCTAAAAACAATCATGAGGTTCCGGTCAAGATGGTGGCATAGGTAAATGTGGTGCTCAGAACCTCTCGCAACAACACTGAAACTACAACTAAATTACAGAACAACCACCATTCAGAACACCTGAAATCCTACTGAACAGAAGTCCCATAATGAAGAATATAAAGAAGAAGCCACAATGATTCTGGTAGGAAGGGCACAGACAGGGAACACTGGTCCACACCCACTTGTGGTGGTTAAAAATATGGAGGCATAACTTGGCTGAGGAGGTTCCCGCCCAAGGAGTGAGGGGTCCCAGCCCCACACCAGGCTCCCTATCCCAAGGTTCCAGGGCCAGGAAAGAGAAGTCTCCATAACTTCTGGCTGCAAAACCAATGAAGAATGAGGCTGAGTGAGATGGAGGGCTCCTGGAGTCCCAGGCAGTTCCTCCATACTGCCGTACACACAGACTTCCATACACACAGACTTCCTCAGACTCACATGCTCCAGCTGCTGGGGCAGCAACTGGAAAGCCACCAAAGACATAGAGGGAGGAACTGAATTGTCTGGCATCAAGGTGAGGGCTGGAGGCAAAGCTGGCAGAGGACACTGTTCTTTTGCTGACCCGCTCCCCTCCTTAAACCCTCAGGCACACACTCGCACGCCCGCACACACAGAGCTGGCAGGTGGGCCCCATATCTGAGTCTCCATACAGCTGACTCACACTGTTTGCCCTGCTCTGGTGATACCCTAAGATCCTGCCCCAAACAAATTTCAGATCCACCTAAGTCATTTTCTGTGGCTTTCCCATACAAAGGGCCTGTCTTGGCTCATGCCTCCGACTCTCCTAAAAATCCCTCAAGCAGGCAGCATCTGTCCTCAGCAAGCTCTGCACCTCTCACTAAGTGGCCCCAGGCCTGATACTAGCAGCAGCTGGCCATGGTTCACAGTTTGGCCTCTCCCAGGTACGTTCAAATCCAGCACAAGTAGCAGCCGTCTGCAGATCACTTTGTAGCCCAGGTCAGGCAGGTTGCGGTAGGGCACAGGCAGCAGCTGACCTTGTCCTGCACCTCAAAGTAGTCCCCAGAGCCAGTACCCTCGGTGGGCAGCTTCAGACCACACTGGCTTGCAAGACAACCACTCCATGAGTGACACACTTAAGGGGCAGGCTCAGTGGGCACCAAAGCCCCACTGAAGTGAGTCCTGCTCCATGGGGGTGGCCCCTGCACAGCAGATTCTCCACTGTAGTGATGGATGGTCCTCAAAAACAATCAGTCTTGAGGGTCAATCCCTCCCATTAAAGTGCCAGCAACAACTAAGTCTCAACTATAACAGGACAATGCACACAGCTTACATGGGGCACACCTGGAGTGCCCAGCTCAGGTGAAAGGGGAGGCTGTGCCAGTGGGCTCTACAAGGACACCTGCTGTAAAAGTCCACTCTACCAAGTTCTGGAGATGTAGCAGCTCTACCTACTACATAGAAACAAACACAGGGGAGCAGATAAAATAAGAAGACAAAGAAAAAAGTTCCAAATGAACTAACAGAAGAAATCTCCAGAAAAAGAACTAAATGAAATGAAAGCAAGCAATCAGCCAGATACAGTATTCAAAGCAATGGTTATAAGGATGCTCAAGGAACTTAGTGACAACTTTGGCAGCATACAAAAAGATATGGAAACCACAAAAAAGAACTAGTCAGAGATTAAGGCTATACTAACTGAAATGAAGAATGTATTATAGGGAATTAAAAAGAATTAAAATAATGAAGATAGCATAAAGAGTCTCTGGATAACATCAAGCATACCAACCTTCACATGATGAGGGTGCCAGAAGGGGAAGAGTGAGAGCAAGAAATTGAAAAATCTATTAAAAAAATAATTACAAAATATTTCCCTCACATGATAAAGGAAATAAGACACACAAGTCCAGGAAGCACAGAGTCCCAAAGAAGGTGAACCCAAAGGGGCCCACACCAAGGCACATCATACTTAAAATGCCAAAGGTTAAAGACAAAGAGAGAATCTTAAAAGCAGCAAGAAAAAGGCAGTCAGTTACCTATAAGGGAGCTCCCATAAGACTATCAGCTGATTTTACATCAGAAACTTGGCAGGCCAGAAGGGACTGGCAGAAAATATTCCAAGTAATGAAAATCAAGGACCTGGAACTAAAATTACTTTACCCTTCAAGGCTATTATTTAGAATCAGAGTATAGATAAACTGTTTCCTCAACAAGAAAAGTTAAAAAAAATCCATCATCACCACCAAACCAGTATTACAAGAAATGTTAAAGGCTCTTCTTTAAGAAATAGAAGAAGAAAAGATAAATATGAATAATAAAATGGCAATAAATATATCTCTATCAACAATTACTTTAAAGGCAAATGGATTAAATGCTCCAATACGGTGGCTGAATGGATAACAAAACAAGACCCTTACATGTGCTGTCTACAAGAGACTAATTTCAGATTGAAAGATACAAAAAAATCTGAAAGCAAAGGGAAGAAAAAAAGATATTTCGTGAAAATAAAAACAAAACAAAAAGCTCATGAAGCAACATTTACACCAGTCAAAAGAAACTTTAAAACAAAGGTTCTAATGAGACGAAGAAAGACCCAGCAATTCTACTTCTGCGTATTTATCCCAAGAAACCCAAAACACTAAATCAAAAAGACATGTATAGCCATATGTTCATTGCAGCATTATTTACAACGGCCAAAGTTTGGAAGCATTGTAAGTGTGCGTCAGTAGATGAATGGATAAGGAAATGGTGCATATTTACATGGAATATCACTCGGCCATGAAAAAGTAGGAAATCTTGCCATCTGCTACAAGATGGATTGGCCTAGAGTATATTATGCTAAGTGAAATAAGTCAGACGGAGAAAGACAAATGCCAGATGATTTCACTTGTATGTGGAACCTAAGAAACGAAACAAACAAGCAGAATACAAACAGACTCACAGATACAGAGAACATTTTGATGGTTGCCAGACGGGAGAGGCATTAGGGGGATGGGTAAAAATGGTGAAGGGATTTAGAAGTACAAATTGGTAGTTACAGAATAGTCATGGGGATATAAAGCACTGCATAGGAAAGATAGTCAATAATATTGTAGTAACTATGGGTACTAGATTTATTGAGGTGACTACTTTGTAGGTTATATAAATGTCTAATCATTTATGTGTATATTGTACAACTGTAATTTAAAAACAAAAAAAATCCGTCATGACCAATGCTTTAATTAAGGACTTACAGCCATCTTTTCATTTAAAAGAGGACTAAGCAGGACACTATAGGGAAAAAGAAAGGAGTGTAGAATTTCAGTTCTGGTATCCTGAAAGTGGGTACCAGACACACTTATGCTCAGGTTTCCTTTTCTATCTCAAATTACACTGTTTCTTACTGCCTGAGTATTAGTTCTATGCTTAGTCAAAGGCTTTTGTGTGTTTTTTGTTTAAAGAATTCCCTTGTCTAGGACCACTACATTCAACAATTTCTTTTCTGCATATAAGCTTTTTTCTTTGGCCGCTGTATGGGCCAAAACACATAGGAAGACCCTATATGCTTTATTTGTTGTTAAATCCCCATTGCCTATGCAAAGACTGGTACATGGGTATTGCTCAATAAACATGTATGAATAAATGGATGTGTAATCAGAACTAGAATATTCTAGTTTTAACATGTCATTAATACCTTTATTATTCAATTGCACGATTAGGTCATTGTTTGCACAATGTTCAACTCAGATTGTCCTCACAGATTTAATTATTTTAAATACTAAAAAAAATTTTAGATTGTTACTGTATTTGAAAACATACAGCTAATATATGTACACAGTAGTGAAAAAGAAAAACTGACTAGGAACAATTTTTTCTCCCAGACTTGTAGTTTACGGAGTTTCTCCATTAGGTAAAGTATAGCCTGTCTCATGAGTTTACACTTGATGTGAAGAATTTAAAGGGTAATTGATATTTTTCTTTATTTCAGCAAACTCCAGAAGACAAAGAGGGATATCAGATGGCTTCATGGAGTGACTGGTGAATGGTTTGAAGAAATTCAAAGAAAAAAGTTTTGCAATGAAACAGATGTTAGCCAAATGTTAAAACAACCCCTTACATACAGGCTAAGGAAGGGGATGGCAGAAAATGGTGAGAAAAAATTTACATCTATTTTTTTTCTTATGGGACAGTATTGTGGATAATGCTTCAGTGGCTCTCCAATTTAACCAATCTATGTTTAGGACTATTTTTCAATAATATGGTACACACAGTAAAAAGAGTGAACTGAAAATGTACTATGATGTCTAGGGTGTATGTTTTAAAAATCAGGCAAGATGGTATAGTGGTTAAGAACACAAATATCAATATTTTTAAATGTCCTAGATTCAAATCTCCACTCTGTCCATTCCATTAGAATCCATGTGACTATTCAAGTTACTTACTCTCTACAAGTCTCACTATTTCACCTTGAAATGGGTATGATAATCCTTACCTCAAAGAATGGTTGTGAGAATTAAATAAAATTATATGTATAAAGTACTGAGCTGGAACACAGTAAGTATTTAAATAAGTGTGGTGATGGTGCAGGAGGGGCAGGTGGAGGAGGAGTGGGGAAGGGAAAAAGAACCAGAAGGGAGAGGAGCGGCCACCCTTCTGGGACTCTGGAAACTTAAACCATGTGAGCTCCAATAAATGCCTCCTTTGCACTACCAGCATGTGGCTTACCTTCACCAACCACTTATTTTTGTTACCTGTAAATGAGGAAAATAAAACCTTTCACAGGACTATAATGAGAATAACAAAGTTCATTAGAAATTGTAAAATACTGTAACAGTATAAAGTATATTTCTACTGATAGCCACATTGGCTGCTTTTGCTTATATGTTACTAACATTAGTAACATCAAGAAACATGTAATAATATTTCTAAACTCACATACTGACATTATTTTGCAACTCCCATAATAAACAAATCTACCTAAAAACTCATATTTCAGATATTTAGGTTAATCCATATACGCTCTGGTGACTTTCCCTTTCCCTTTAATTGCTCTAGTATTTATAAACTTGGCATGTCCCAAAGTATTACAGTATTATGGACTTTGTACATGTTGCTGTTGCCTTAGAATTTTTAACACTCATATATAAAACTATATACTATGTATACATATTTATATTACATGCATATATACATGTAAACCATATATGTAGTAAATATAGATACATAGCGATAGATTTTTCACAGGAATAAGAAGCACTATAAAAGGCTTGTTTCCTTTTCATTTACTCTCCTTGATATGAAAGTTGCATCGTATCTATCACTGTGTTTTAAAATACATAAAAATTTCTGAAGGACGGTGAGGAAGAGCAACGCAAGGACTGAATGAGGTCCCTCACCTCACCTGCGTCGAACAGAACTCACACAGCAGGGGTAGGGAGGGTTCCACGGAAGTGCAGTCCACCGTGCTATTCCAAGACTCCCTCTGGTCTTTGTGAGGATTCTCACCGAACCGTCAGAGGCCGAGGACTCGCCTTGTTGCTGAGGTCTTACGCGGAGGTGTCTGCTTCGGCGCTAGACTTCATCCGGGTACAGGGAGGGGGGGAGTGAGAAGGAAGCCTTAGTTCCCTGAGATTTATTTTCCTGGAAATATTTCACGATACAGAACTTTTACAATTTTCTTTTAGATCCTATGGAATTACAAACATCACGATCTAAAAATATACCTGCTCAAAGAAACCCAACACCCGTTCCTTCTCGGCTCGGTTTCAGATCATCATTTGCTTCCCTGTTCTCATTCGGAAAACCCAGGAACGAGACTTTAAAGCCTCAGCGACTGGAACCGAAAGGGTGAGTCAAATTCGGATCACGTGATAGCTCATTGGTTACCTGATCCCAGAGGCCAGCAGTCTTTCTGTTCAGAATGTTTAATGATTATTCATAGAACTTAAATCCAGATCCTGACCAAGGAAACAGGACTTTTCTTGCAGAGGGACAAAGTCCTTGTGAAACCATGAAACCTGGCTCACTTGAAATCCATCTCTAACCTGCTGCACAGGTCCCAGGTAATAATTACTGACAATTTTTCCACTGCTCCGAATGCCTCGTCTATGCCTTGGTCAGGCAGAGATATTTAAATGAAAAGTACTTCTTCCTTAGGGAGTTATGTGTATCTGTGGTCACAAGGAAGGATCGGGTACTAAGTGAGCAAAACTGAGATGACCAAAGAGACTAGAGATAAATAGGGACCATTCTGATGTCGTTGCCTAGAATTTAAACGTAAGATAAAGGAGGAGAATCTTTTGGAGCAATGGAGGCATAGTTCCAGATGGTTCCTTGTTTAGGTCTGTATAAATCAGTTCGCCTCAACTCATTACATTGCTGGATTGTTTTGTGAAAAACAAGCGACTCGTTATGTTGCTGGATTGTTTTGTGAAAAACAAGAAAAGCTTTGCTTCCGTTTAGTTGAGCTGACTGCTAAATATTTTCTGCATGCCTTCCTGGTTGAAAAGCTTCCCACCCTCTTGAGGTGTTGGCTTGGCATGTGCTCTGTTCCGTGTTTGCCGTCAGACCATTAAGAGTGCATTGCAGTGCTTCAATAAAAGGTGTTAGAGGTCACTCTTGTTGAAAAGCAATAGGCAGCAAGCAGCTGCTGGGGTATGTGATGAAGCTCCTGGACTTAAAAAACAGTTCTCTCCTCCGCTCCCAGGTGGACGGAAGGATTTTGGCTTCTCGCTTTCACCAGAGGCTCTTTTGTCTTTGATGAAATAATGAACAAAATGTAGATTTATGTGACTGTCTCTACTAGAGTCACTTAGAAGCAAATACTCTGCAAATAGGTGAGTAGGGTTTTTGTAAAATGTTTGAAACATTATTAATTTTCTCGTTTGGGAAATGGAAAGTGGGGGGTATTTTCTTTGTAGCTAAAATGTGTTTTAAGGGGAAAAGAAATAATTTTGATGTGTGGTGTAGCTGGTACTCATGATGTAATTTGTATTTTAAGTGATTTTCTTTAAGGCAGGGTTTTTATATCACCAAACAATCTAACATTAGTAAACTAGGAAAGGTTGAAAAATCTGTTAACTCTATTGACAAGTTATTTCCAAGCTCATATTACAAGTTCCTGCAAAAGTGGATCAAAAGAGATAAAAGATCTATAATCGTCATTCTGGGTCACATGTGTCTTAGTTATGGAGCAAACTGAAAAAAAAAATTTAAGCTCTTGCAAAACTCTGTTTAACAGCCATCCTTCTTATATACCAAAGTGATTTCTAGCTCTCTTTCAACCAGATGAACTGAGGCATTTAGCACAGCATGCAGAAATTAAACAAATTTTATCAGTTTAGGTGTATATGTGTGCTTAGCAGTTTTCAGAATTTGTCATCTTTAAATATATTGTACTTTCAAAATATAACTGGGAATATGTATTTATTAGTTATGCTGATGCAAATATCATGAAGGCACCGTATGTTGCTCCTAAGAGGTTTCAGGAGGTAAAATGTAAAAGTATGTCCTTTTTATTTTTAAATATCAGTTTGACCTAAATATTTGGATATAAATCCTGAATATGTATGGTTAAGGAAGTGTTATACTATGATAGGAATATATTTCTACCAATAAATTCCAATGGTCTCTTTACTCTTGAGTAGAACCAAACTGTCTTTGGCAGTTCTGATCTTTCACATTACAAAATCCACCTTAAAATACAGACTCTGATTCAGGAGCTCCTCCTCGCCAGTGCGCCAGTGAACTCGCTGGAGGAGCTGACAGCAGGCCCGGGGGGATGTGCCGTCATCCTCCGCCAGGTTTCCACTCGCTGAAGTCATCACGGTTTGACCTCGTTGCTCTGGAGAACAAGTCAGCAAGGCAGTTTATAGGATTTTTTACAAATCACAGAAAGATATCCAACGTCTCTAGGCAAAGCGCAGCCAGCCTTCTGTTCAACCCTAAAAGACTGAGTATCAGACAATTTTCTTTTTTTCTTTTAAGCTGTGGCTCAGCTGAGAAATGACACTGGATAATGGGCAACTATCCCCAGGGGGGAAAAAAATGGACTTCCATCATTTCACCAAATACACTTGCATTTTAGAAAGACCCAGCGAATAAAAATATATGGCATGGTAAAGCTTTGATTTCCTATTATCAGTGGATAAAAAGTCATGGGAGCATAGTGGCCTCATGAATTAAGAACAAAAAGTTCTGTCATTTCTGCTTTGAATATGACTAGTTCCTCCTCCCAAATGTATGCAGTACCCGTACTATCCCATTATTACTTTAAGCTTATTTATAAATGGCTGTACTCTACTGTGTGTGACCCCCAACCCCAGTAAGAAGAAAAAAGTTTCCATTTGTGTTTTAATTTACTTACTGCCAGCCGGTAAATTTAAGAAAAGTACACAGGTTTTACACGTACCTCTCCCCCAACATTTCTCTGTAAGTCGTACTTCCTCAGGCCTTGCTATGGGGAATCTAGCGCCTGTGACACACAGTGCTCATCCCCCACCACCAATTTCAGTAACTCCATTTCCCCACAGATTCCTTCCACATAGTTCAGCAAGTAACTGACAGTGTATGTCATGAGCTTACAAATGCAGTTTTCCTGGTTGCCCAGTGGTCTCTACACTTGTTCTTTTCTTATCGCAGACCCCAGTTCATTACAGTGATGCCCGCCCCCCCACGACAGGTGACATGCGTGCTGCCCAGTTTCATGCCCAGCACACTCCACCGTAAAGTTGCTCCTTCAGGAGGGCCACACCCTCCTGTCCACACACACATTTTCAAAGCTGTGCAGCCATGTGCCACCAGTTCATTATGACAATTTTAGGGATGTGGCTCCCTACTCTTTCCTCTGTTGTAATCCCGAGGACTAAGCAAAGTGCAAATACAAGGGAACTAGTTCATAGGCTCAAGAGCAACATGTACAATTAAATCTAAGATCACTTCTTTCCTTTGGGGACCATCACAGTGCTTAGCATATAGTAAGTTCCCTGTAGGTGGGATTAAAGAGTGATAACTGCTGGAGTCGGTGTATGCGTGCTGACTACTCTGTTCCTTTAGGATCATTTTTTCCCCCCTTGAGATAAAAAGAGCTTTGGTGGATCCACTAGCTGCTCTTCAGACATCCCCGAATTGGCCTCATCTATGGGATGTACACAACTTAGGCAGTCCAGCTGCCACTTCGGTTTACATTAGCACAAAGTTCAAACACTATTTTGGAAAATTAAAAAGGCAGATGATTATTTTCCTAGATTCTTGTTGGTGGTTATTTTCTTTCTCATGCACAATAAATGTCCTCCTGTGCTGTCTTCCCCTTTCCTAGTTGAGTGCCTTTGCTTGCATTGGAACAGAAAAACACCTAAGACACCTAGGTTGAAGAAGTCAGAGTAAGCAAGATCCTTCTTTGAAAATCCTCTACACAAGGTGTGGTGTCCACAGATAAACAGCAGAGTTGTGGTGACAGGAGGGAGAAGCAAGACAAGGGGAACGGCTTTCAATTTCATCCTGGGCGGCCAGCAGTTCCCAGTTGATCTGGCTGCTCAATATTATAACCTCATCAGCCATTTAAAAATAATGGCACGTAATCAGGCCCCAACCTTCAGATTCTGATTCAGAAGGTTTGAGGTAGGGCACAGGGACGTTTGTTTATTTTTAATTCTCTAGAATATATAGAAGTTCATTCAGGTTCGGAAACTGCTACAACATAGCTTCTTATTCCCTCTGCACTACAAGCTGTCAGAGTTCCTGGCACGGGTGCCAGTAGCTCAGGTGAAAGTTTCTCTTTCATTCATTTATCAAGCTTTTATCAAAGCCTTACTTTGGATCAGGTACTATATTTAGTGTTAGAGATAAAATCATGATAATAAAGCTAATTCCTGCCTGGAGGACTTTATAATATAGCAGGGGACACCGGATCACTGCAATGAGTTGGGCAGGAGGTACCCCGCAGGTCTCCAGGAAGTGCCTCTCCCATCACAATCCTTGTGGATTTATATATTTATTATGGAGATTTCTGGCAAGTGACAGTAAGGATCTTGAGGAAGAGATGCCCTTTAAAACTCACACAGGGGCCCTGGCTGGGGCGGCTCAGCAGATGGAGCGCTGGCCTGCGAACCAAAAGATTGCTGATTTGATTCCCAGTCAGGGCACGTGCCTGGGTTTCAGACCAGGTCCCCAGCTGAAGGCATGCGAGAGGTGACCAATCAATGATTCTCTCACACATCGATGCTTCTTTGCCTCTCTTTCTCCCTCCCTTCCCCTCTCTCTAAAAATAAATAAGTAAAACCCTTAAAAAATAAATTAAATCCACACAGGGATACCATCCTGCCTTGCTGCAGCCTGGGTGACAGCCAGGTGCACTGATGATTACAGTATAACATGGCGAGTGCTGTGGTGGATGCGTGGTATTTCTGCCATGAGAACATAGAGGAGAAGCGCCTAACTCAGACTGGAGGGAGGATCCAGAAGGCTTCCTGGAAGAAGAGCACCAACCTTTGAAAGACACATAGAACTAAGCTAAGCAATTAGGAGTTGGCATGTTGCACCAGGCAGAAAGAATGACACAGCAAAAATACAGAGACTAGAAAAGGCAATCATCTACGTCACGGAGGTTCAGTGACCTAGTGTACGGTGAGACTGATAAGAGATGGGGTGGGAGAGGATGGCAGAGTCAAGAGCACAGGGACCTTTCCCAGGCAGTGCCAAGGAGCTTGGAGCTGACTGACCCTGCAGACAGCAGGGAGCCATGGGTCACTTTTTTGAATGATACCATTCCTTTTCTTATTATTATATATAATATAGGTTTCTTTCATTTATGTATATATGCATACATATTAGATAAAAATCACAATTCACTGGATGAACACTAACATTTTAGTGTACTTCATGCATGTGTGCATGTGCACATGTATGTATTTTTTTCCATTGATAGTTTTTAAACAGAGAAGTGACATAATCATGTTCATTTTAGAAATATCACCTTAGTTCTGTGATTCTCAACTAGGGGCAACTTTGCCCCCAAAAGACATTTGGCAACATCTGAAGATGATACTGGTTTTCACAACTGAAGGGAAGTGCTATTAGCATGGAGTGGGTAAGGTTCAGAGCGGTTGCTGGGCATCCTACAACGCATGCAACAGACCACTGCACCCAGGAAATGCCGGTCGTGCCCAGGCTGAGAAACTGCTCTAGCTGTAGCTCAAAGAACAGATTCAAGGGGCAAAATTCAAGTCAGAGAGACCGGTAAAAGACCTGTGGAGATGGTAGTGGCTTAAACTAAGGTTGTGGCAACGAGGAGGGCAAAAGTGGACAGATTTGTGCATGGTTCAGAATGTAGAATCATGAGAACCCAGTAATTGGATGCAGTGAATGCAGAAAGAAGAGGAGAGGAGGGGAACTCTCCACTCTCAGGAAGCTAGATGGATGATGGTGAAGAATATCGGAGAAGGAGCAGATGAAATGAGAAGAAAAATGAACACATTTGCTCATTTCTTCAACAAATACTCTCCGAGGAATTCCATGTGCAGCACTATAGAACAAAACGACAGCCCTTGGCTTCACAGGCCTTAACCCTGTGAGGACAACAAAAAGGAAATAGGGAAGCAGATTCGTGCTAAGAAGAGAAAGTTCTGTGTGTTGTGGGAGCCCGCTCGAGGGGATATATCTTAGACTAAGAATCTAAGTCTAGGTATCTAAGAGTCTGGGCAGGTCTCCCAGGGAAAACGACATTTATAATGATTCTTCAAGGATGAGATAGTTATCCAGGCAAACAATTGGTAGAAAACTGTTTCAAGTGAAGGAACAATGAGTGCATAGGTTCCGGAGTGTGGCGAATTTCCTATGGCAAAAGAGAGAAAGGGAGGTGGGATAATGAGGCTGGAAAGTATTCAGGGACGAGATAATATAGGGTCTTCTAAACACAGAGAAGAATTTGAACTTTCACCTGAGTGTAAATGGGAATCATTAAAATATTAATCAGGGAAGTGGCATGATTCAATTTATACTGATCACTCTGGCAAAAGTGTAGAGCAACTGGTATGCCACAAGAATTTTTAAAACATGCAATACCTGATTATTTTAAAGTCAGAGACACTGACCTCTTTTCCTTTAAATTGTCAAATAAAAAAAAATGACAATAGCCAACACAACAATAGCTGTCTGGTAAGAATGAATCAAAGTACCTATTTTTTTGGTCATCTCAGCAAAAAATATATTTTTGGTGTGCTGCAGAATCTTAGTAATTAGTTTATGTGTGCCATGAGATGGAAAAGGTTGAAAATCGTTGATAGAGAGCTTGGGCTGTACCTTCTAACTTCTCTGTACCTCTCTCCCCTGGTCTGTGAGATGGCAGCAGATACAGTATCCACGTCCTGAGAATGATGTATTTAAGTGAGTTAACCGAGCACAGAGTGTAAGAACACTGCCTGCACTCAATAATAACTCAGCAAATGCAACCATTTTGCTATTCTATCTCATGCTGTGTTCAGATACGGACCCACAAATATGTAATTTCTTCTTGGCTACCCAAGGGACAAAGATGTAAAAACATTGTAAGCAATCCTAGGAAAGGTTTCTGAGATTTTTTATCAACACTGCACTAACCGAGAAATGTCTTCCCATACATGTGTATCTTCTCAAGATATCAAGGTAAAATGGCAGATGCCTGTTTATTTTTCTCCTGGTAAAAGTTAGGCACTTCTTCAAAGAAATTATTTCAAATTCTCTCCACAGATGTGACAGGCATGCAGGACCTGCCGTGTCTGTGAGGGGAACTGCTGTGGTAAGTGACTGGAAACTAAAGCTTATGCTAAGGAATTCGTAAGTGATGTAATCCCTGGTCGCCTCCCTACTTAAATATGTTTCTCTTTGGCTCAGCTTTAAATTTACTGAAGAAACTTAGATTTCTTCTAGAGAATTCAAAGTTTTCCCTTCATGGTTGGTTTCCAGTTGGCTCTGGTACTGAAATGCTCAAACAGCAAGCAGGCTCTATCAGGAAGGAGTGAGGCCACTGTGAGTCCCCTCATGCCATCAGTGGCATCTCTAACATTTTTCCATGCGTCGCTCTGTACAGCACTAAAACGCTGGACAGAGGAAGAGGCAAGAGGCATCACCGCCACTTTTCCAAGCCAATGTGGGTCTGAGCTGGATCTTTTCTGGGTAAGATCATCATTTGTATTCAAAGTGGAAGCCACTGACAGGGGAGATGCACTCGGCAGGAATGAGTTCACAAGAGGGTACTGACCCAATATAACTTTCCACCAAGGGCTTAGACTTAAATATATTCTCTGTGTTCACATGCTTACAAAATCGAGAAGGTGTAAGTTTTCTGTTTATTCATTGTCTTAACTTTTGATCTATGCATGCCTATGCCTTTCTGTGTAGCTCATGTGGTTTGGAGATGAAAGAATGAGAATTATGGAAGAGACGTAAGAGTGCAGGAGAAGAGGTATTCTTCAGTTCGCTGTGGTCTTAATACTCATACCTACCTTTCTTCCTCTCACTCCTCTTCTCTCTCTTTGGTTATTTTTTTGTTTTTTGCAAAAAGCATGGGGTAGAATTATGGTGAGAAATGCATATAAACAGAGATCTAATGAACTAACCAACAAAATAAACCACAGGCAAGGAAACATGGAGCAGACTGAAAGTGACCAGGGGGATGGGGAAAGAGGACAATGGTGGAAAGAAGGGGAAGGGACTAGACACAAAGCATGTATGAATGACCCATGGACATGGACAACAGAGTGGGAATTGACTGTGGGAGCAGGGAGTGGGCGTGGGATGGGTGGAGGAGGGCAAAGGGGGAGAAATTGGGACAACTATAATAGAATACACATGATTTAAAAGTTTAATAAATAAAGAAGATAAGCTTAAAAACAAAACAAAACAGAGATCCTTTAAACATAGAGCCCCCTTTCTCCTTCAGAGTAATGCTGCCTCTTTCCTCGTCTCTGATGACACTGAACCCTATCTCTCTCCTATGTGCTTGAGCCCCAACCATGACACCAGCACCAAGTGCCACTTGACATAGATAATTGCATTTAATACTCAGAGGAAATCTGTGAAGTACTATTATTGTCCCCATTTTAAAGATGAAGAAACCGAGGTTAGAGAATTTAAAGAGCATGCTCAAGAAGGTTACTGGTCAATGGTCGAGTCAGGATTAGAAAATCTGGATCTCTTTATCTCCACAGCCAGAAGTTAGTGCGTATGCCTACAGCTGCACCAGCCCCAAAGCCCTGGTTGCCTATGAGCCCCAGTGGCTCACTGCCTGCAGCCTCTCCTTTAACTGAGCAGTGGACTGCAGTGGACACATAGAGCTCTCCAAGAGGACAGGGCCCCCGTTCTAGACGCTTCTGCCCTCTCACTTTTCCTTGGAGAAGTGCTCAGAGATCACTGGCCTCTACCATGTGAGAGCCATGGCATCTGAGGCCAATGAGGAATGTAAAAAGAAATAAAAATGCCTGGAAGTTGTAAAACAGTAGAGCTAATTTGGAATTCTTGGGATTTGAAAATCCAGTCTGAAGAATACTAAATGTCTTTCTTCGGCACTCATGATTGCTGCTCTTAGCCTGTCAATTTAAAAGGTATGAGCTGGGATGCAACTCGAGCCAGTGAGTGTTGATTCCAGTTAATAACTTATGAAAAGTAGGAGGGAGAAAATAATGAAACTACTATCTAAAACAAAGATTTTGTATGATACATAGATTTCCATTACTTATTAATGGAAGCCCTATCCCCTGAAGCCTGCAGAAAGCTGGAAGTTGATGCAACCGGGCTTCTTGCTAAGGTTTAAGATAAGAAACTTCCCAAACTTGGTTGGCAGTCTGGCAGGAATGGCACATTTTATAGGATAGTGTACTGTATTCTCAGGTTACCTTCCCCTCAAAAGAGAGAAAGCTGCCATTTAAGTATTTGCTTTTGTTTAAAAGAAAGAAAGGATTTGAGAAAACACAGAGAGAAACTTAGAGACAGGTAGCTAAGTGTTTCTCTCAACCTCAGTACTATTGCCTTTTTGGGGTTGAATGATTCTCTGTTGTAAGGCTGTCCTGGGTATTACAGGAAGTTTAGTGGCATCTCTGGCCTCTTACCTATTAGATGTCAGCAGTTCTTCACTCAACTGTGACAATTAAAAATATCTCCAGTAACACCCTGGCTGGTGTGGCTCAGCAGATTGAGCGCTGGCCTGCGAACCAAAAATAGCTCCAGAAATCGCCAAATATTCCTTAAGGAGCCAATTGAGAGCCATCTCCATACAAGTGAGGAATCCTAGGTTAAAGTGTTCACCATCAGTGAGAATAGAAACAAAACATATGGCCTGGGCTGCTTGAACACTCCTCATCTCTGAACAAATTTCGGTGGGCCCTACTGTTAGGTGGCGTGGCAGCTCTGGACCCCTAGAAACACTCCCCCAATGTACTTACCACACTGGGCCAGTGTGGGCTCTTTGAGCCCAGGACTGTGCCACCTATGTATCCGTACTACCTGGCACAACCTGAGCACTCATATATTGAAAGAAGAAATGAGTGAGTGGTTTTAAGCCACAAAGTACATTGGTGAATTTGACCTTTGCAGGAAAGCAGACAGAGAACAAGTTCGGGAACACCTTGAAAAATTACTTTGTTGACTTTAGCAAGGCATTTGATAACATCAGTGAGCTTAGGCTTCTGCTCCAACAGCTGTTCTGCAGGTTTGGCTGCCCCAGGAAGTTCTCAGAGTCTGAGGTTACCCTTTGTGGCAAGGTCATTTGTCTCGTAGTGTCAAAATTGCAAACAGTGTCAGTTGAGTGAATTGACGTTGGTTAAAAGGCCTCATTTTGCTCAGCCTATTTTAGGTACCATGTTTGAGACTGTAACTGAGATCCTGAAAGCCAACATTTTGAGACTCTGGCCTCTAACTCTGTGGGACATTTTTCTAGCTCATCAGACTGCACCATCATCAGGGGTCCTCTGGAAACCCTCCTGAACCACAGAAAAAGAGCAATGACTAACAAGGACTTACTACGGGCTGAACACCATTCTAAAGTGTTTTACCATTATTAAGTCATTTAATCATACGAGATGGAGGGTTTTGTTGTTGCTGTTATTGTAATTTTTTTTTTCATTTTACCAAAAAAGAAACTAAGGTACAGAAAGGTTAAATAACTTGCCCAAAGTTATGCAGCTATTAAGGGGCAGAAGCAGGATCTGGACCTCTGCAGAACTCTCGTGTTTAACCATCATACTTTCCCAACTCAGACATGCTTTTCTGAGTCCTGATATTGTAAATATTCAATGTCTAAATTTCTGTGATAATCTTTGCTAGAAATTTTATACATGTAATTTTCTACCTTGGTATATTGTGTATCAATCCAAAACTATGTGCATGGTGGGCAAGGAAGGTTTAAAGCAACGTTCCTGTCTTCGGAAAATTTACCATCCAATTGAAGATACATACATTAGTAAAACAACAGTAAAAAGCAACATAGTGGAAAGAAGAGGTTTAGGGATCAGATCTTATGAGAGTGAGTAGTCATTGCTACCATTTATTTTTGATAACACTTACCTAAGACTTAGCTTTTTTTAGCTGCAAAATGGGAATGATGATCCTCACCTAATTCATAAATTTATTCTAAGGATCAAATGAGATAGGATATTTTGAAGGTATATTGAAAACTGAATAAATGAGTAATATTATCAAATATAAAATAGTTGGTACCAAATGAGTGTACAAAACTGTGTTAGAGAAACTTAGAAGTGAAAAATAGTTTTGTATCTTAGAATTCAATTCAGTAAATATTAGTCAATCTCCTACATGCCAACACTACGCTGGGTGCCCAGGACAGAGAGGGGAATAATGTGCTTTCTTAGCTATTTTAGAGGTTGGGCCACTTCCAGGGTCCTAACGCATTTGTTTTCAAATCCCTGTTTTTTTAGATCAAGGTGAAGACTGAAATGTGTAGTAGGGAGGAAGGGGGAAAATCTAGTAGTAAAGTAAAAGTGCAAAGAATGTAAACAACTCTCATATGACATAACAGGTATCACACCAGCAGTGCATAGTATATGTAAATATACCATTGTAATTATTCTTCCTGAAGAACTGGAGAAGGGCTCACAGAGACCATGATATATGAACTGGACTCTGAAGGGTCAGTTGATACTTTCCAAGAGAAGAGGAGAAAGAGAAAAGATCAGGAACAGAGACATGGAGGTCTAGAAAAAGTACATAGCATTTTAGAGAACTGTGTGTGGTGAGCTCAGAGCACAGGACACTTGAAGAAACTCAGGGAGGAAAGGCTTAAATGAAAGGCTGGAAAATTATTTTGACACGAATCTCCTGCACAGAGGTGTTTGAGCCTCATCCTCTAGGCCAGGAATGGGAAATACATTTCATTTTTTGATAGCTGCCTGACGGCGTGGGACATTGTTCTGAGGGGGATTCTGAGTCCAAACCGAGCCTGGACTGAGGATTTGTGTGCTGTGGGCCCTGGGGGACTTAACTCCACTCGAGGCATCAGGAAATTTCAGGTGCTTTTCAGCAGCTCTAAGACCTGTGTGTGGCCTCAGAGGATGCCTACTGCTGGTAAATAGTACATTGATCAACTAACAAACAAACAAACAAACAAAAAGTAGAGAGAGGTGGTGTAGTATGGTGTAGCTCTGCAATCCAACAGATGGAAGTGAACCTTTCCCTCCCCCAGCACGACCTGAGGTAGGTGACCGGACCGCTTGAAACCTCACTTTCCTCAAACACAGGTTTCTCAAAGTGGGAATAACAATAGTCCAACCTCATAGGGTTGTTAAAATAATGAAATAAAGTAATCCATATGAAGCCCTAAGCACATTGCCTAGAATAATTAATGCGTAATTGCTGCTGCTACTACTAACAATAATCTCTCACATAGAGCTTAAATAAACGGAGTCTGTAGGGCAGTGATGCTGTTCAATCTTCTCTTTGGCTGATACCTACCACTGACTAGCAATTACTTTTTACAATTTTATCCTTGGAAAAAAGTTCTGGCAGCATTCAAGTTGAGTGTAAACAAATTCTCCATATTTTCTCTTAGTCATATAATTTTGATCTCTGTGTGTTGGAAGCATTCTCCACATGTTGGGTGACTGGGGGTGGTCTAGAAGTAGAGGGTCTGGCAGGAGTCTCACCACAGGAGGTTATATCTGGGGCCTCCTGATGGTAGTCATCCTTCCCAGCTTGAAGAGGTGCATCTCTTCACCTGAGCCCTCTGGTCCCGTGTTTTTTTATTTCAGTATATATTTTTATTATAAAGGGTTGTGATCCAGGGAGCCAAAAGAATGTACTCTGGTCTATAGAGAGGAAATTTGAAGTTTGGGTGTTAAAATGGTGGAGAGAACACAGTGCTTGCTGTTCTCTTAACCAGATGTATCTAGTCTGTACCAACTAGCAACACTGCAGATTTGGGAAGAATAGATGTATAAGATGTATGGCTAATTATTATTAGCACAAATAAAGACTTGGAGAGGCAGTAGGAAGGGCACAAAAGAGAATAATATTGATGTATTTTAGAAAGAAAAGAAATTGCCTGTAAATAATCTGATTTCTCAAGTGATTAGTTTCAGATTTTATTGCCTACAGTTGGTATCTCACTGTAGTTATGTTTTGCTTCTAACATTTGTTTATTTCTGAATTTTATAGTAGTATGTTAAATTATACCCAATGACCAACAAATTATCATTGGATTTTTTTTTCTTACTAATAAATCTCCTTTGTGTACATTCATTTACAGCTTGCCCATTGAACTGAAAGCCACAAGTTAATGAAATTTGGGCAGGGCTTCTATCAGAAATGACTGACCTAGATTTTGAGAAAGAAAACAGGTGGGGGTGAAAATACTAAGTTGTGAGGAATGTAGGGATTAAGAGAACCTGAAGTTTAGAACTGGACAGACGTGGGCTGGAGAAAGAGAAAAGCTGGAATTGTGAAAAGATTAGAGATTCAGTTTTAGGTATTCAGGGTGAGATGAAACATAATGGTGAACATCAAATGGAGAGGGAAAACTTGGGAAAGAAAGGAATTCAGTAGGCAAAGACTTGGTAGCCAAGTGAACTAAAAAACAAAGACACTAGAACGGGAAGTGGCTGCCAGCCTGGTTCAGGGATAGGTGCAGGATTAGCTCAGGTGGAGTCAGAAGTGACAGAGCCAGTTTGACAGAGGAAATGCAAATGGAGTTTTGGCAAAAGAAAGTGAAGGTGTGGGAGTGGATAATTCCCCCAAGGTTATGAGGACAAATTAAAACTTGAAAGTAGGGCAGCGATGGATTAATGAAATCAAAATAAACATTTGTTAGCAAAGAAAACAACCTTAACTCTCCATCATTCTCCTAGATCCTGTAAAACTAGCACTGATTTTTGAAAACAATTTATACGGTCATATTTTTCAGCACCTTTCTTTCAAAACTACTAATCAGCACCTTATAGCTGTCTGGTATGTTCTACCATTCTGTGCGTACTCTGTGGATGGAAACACATTTTTCCCCCAAATCCATCAAGTTCACAAACCTTAAGGTCCACTACAAGCTTCAGCTAACCAGATCTTGATAGACTAAGAAGAGTTTTAAGAAATCTAAAATTCATACGATTAGGGCCATGGAGACAACACTCCCAACTTAAGAGAGATCAATTTCTTTCCTGTTTTCCAGGAATCTCCATAAGATTTGTGTAGTGCTGTTAAAGTTCGTAGGAATCTGTGGCAGAGAAATACACAATATGTTGCCTGAAGATTCATAGTAAAAAAAAAAGTAATGTAGGTATGAAGACGTTTGTGATTACTTGAAAATGACAGAAACAAAGTATTAAAAATTAGGAAAAAGTGTTTAGAAAATTGATTGCAGTCCTTAGACTAGTGCTTTTAAACTGCAGGCGTTTTTTGTGGGAACATGTGAGAATTCTAGCTACAGAATGTCCAGAAATAATATTGCATTTTTTATTTTAAAATTAGCCGGCAAAATTATATAATTCGCCTCTGGAAAATCAACCATTGGAGAGTGCATTTGTTCCCAAGTCAGCAGGCATGAGGGAGGGAAGCAGCGTGCCCCCGTGGGATGCTTCTGCACTGGAGAGTGAGTTTTTCCGAGGTAAGGCTCCCCTAGTACTAAAGCAAATAATAATTACAGTTTGTATGGAAATGTTCAAAACATATCAAATTCTGTACTTTACTTTTGAAGTCTTCTTGTTTATCTTATCTAAAGAGGATGCTGTTATATGCTATTAACACAAATATTAAAGAATCTTATATTTAAATATAATCTAAACAAATATGCTCAGACCAAGGCTAATAAATCTAGGGAATGGTAATAATGGTTAATATTTAATCTCAGGTGAAAAACAAATGCACCTTTACAGAATATATCTATAAAGTCTACTGTTCTTTTTCTTTTTTTAATTTTATGTTTCAATTATAGTTGACATTCAATATTATTTTATATTACTTTCAGTTGTACAGCATAGAAGTTAGATAATGATATAATTTACAAAGTGATCCCCTCGATAATTCTAATACCCACCTGACACCATACGTAATTATTACAGTGTTATTGATGAGATTCCAACTATGCTATACTTTACATCCCCATGACTATTTTGTGACTTCCTTTTTTAAAAAATTTATTTTTTAATTGTTCAAGTACAGTTGTCTTCATTTTCCCACCACCACTTTCCCCTGCCCCACCCACCCCCACCTCCGACCCTCAATAAAGTCTACTGTTCTTAATAAACTTTTATTATCACTGACTACCTAAATGCACTGTGATGAAATCTAATTGTTGCTAAACAATTAGCCTTGTACAATAGATAGTAATAAAGGGATGGATTCCAAAAGCACGACATACAATGGACAATAATAATAATGTTGTTATTATTATATTAACTTTCCTGTGTGTTCTGTTGTAACCACATATTGCTTTTGTAGTCAGCAAAAGACTTTATTTCAGGAAAGAAACACTGAACAGCTTGAAAGGGAGAACAAAAATCAAAGAGATTTTATTATAATTAGTTTTAAAGGCAGATATTACTCATTACATAGTTCTTTTGTTTGTTTTTTGTTTTTGCTCCACCTTAGAGTTGGCATTGCTTGATTATTTTATTTGTGGATACGTGGGATAAATTATTTCAGAGACGAGATAATTTTTTTTATTTTTAAAGCATTGACAGGATGATTTCCTGAAGAATTCCTTGGTTACAGATCCTTAATGATCAAGATTAGTTCTTCTGCTGGCTCTTCAAATTTAACAGTATCAACTTACAAATAATATAGGGTAGGGATAATCCAGAACAGATGTCAAAACCCCATCAGCACCTGTCCTGACATAATTGACATGTCACAAGTACAACCCACTTACATTCATTTAGACACTGATATGCCTTACTTTCCCTTCACTGGGCCTAACTTGGATACCATTCTCCCACCTTGCAACCGAGAAAAAAATAAGCATTGTTTGGCAATGGCAATTTCACAGTCTTGTAACACTGTGAGCTCATAGTGAAATCATCTTTATACTTCATTTTTTTAAAGTGAAAAGTGAACTTCTATGGCACAGAGGTGGTGTGGCACAATGGTTGTGTGCGTGGCCTCAGGAAGCAGACTGCCTGGATCCATTTACCTGTGGTGTGACCTCAGCCACTCACTTAATCTCTGTGTGCCTCAGTGTCCTCATTTTTAAAACGAGACTGGTAATAACACCAATCTTACAAGAATATGTGAGCATTTAATGGGTTAATAAATTAAATGCTTAAAATTGTGCCTGACACATAGAAAGTGCTTTATTAAAGGAGTGCTAATGGGTCTTACTTTTTACAGGAAAAACAATCTACTGTTAGCATATCATTTAACAATTTTGTATAGAATTTAAAATTTTATGTATTGCTCTAATCCATTGAAACAGGTGCGTTTATAAATTTGGTGCTGGTGGTAATGCTGTTTTCTCAATGGTAGAACTGAGAAATCACATGTTGTTTACAGACTCATTTCTTTCACAATCCTCTGACATATTTGGAAATAGTTTAACTACCTAGTGACACAAAAGATGTACTAAGAGAAACCATAATTAAAATCTGTTCTTTGTTTTTAAAAAAATGTCGCTTTTTGTTCTTTATGTCCTTTAAGGCATTATGGAAGGTTAACTTTGAAAAAGTCTGATTTTAAAAGTATGAAAGAGAAACTTGATTACAGCTTTGTAAAAGTCATACTATCTTAAAAATATAATCAAAACTAATGTCAGCACATCTATGATGATATGATAAACATAAAATTATAAATGATTATGTTTCTTAAAATGTTATACAGAAAAAGTCACTCATGCTCTCCTTTCAGTTTTAGATGATTTGGATAGCAAACTGGCTCAGGAACAGTCTGAAAGCTCAGCGAATACAAAAACACCTCTCAACTATGGATCAAGACCACAGTTCAGTCGTTTTCACGCCAGTGGGAACAGACATGGTAATGCCACAGGAAGGCACAGAAATCACTATAATGAAACTTCTAATATGTCTATCTATGACATCCTAAGACCAGGAACCCCTAGAGAAGGTTTTAAAACCTTTTCTTCTAGAATAAGGACAATTTATGATATGTATAGGACACGGGAGCCCAGAGTCTTAAAAGAAGATTATGTGCAAAAGAATACTTTTGGTAGTAGTTCTCTGTGTTCTGACAGCAGGCGATTAGCCTCACCAGCTACACGGTATTTCACAGCAAGAAGCATACATTTTCCAGCCACAACTCAGAACAAGAATGGATTTACACCACCAAGCCACCAGCAGAGCCCAAAGAGAACTCCTTTATCATCCATCATATGGAATAGATCAGATTCGTCTGGAGACAGACTGAACCAGGAAGAGTTCCTGGGAGCGCCATCACCGATGGAAGTTGACCCTGCTGACCAGTACGTGTACCCCAGGTGTTTTCAGAATAGGAGCTATGAATTTTATCGTTCACAGAGTGTTTACCAAAGTACAAATTTAAATTCCCCCATGGATTGCGCAGTGAACCCAGACCCATTTGAGAACTCAGAGAATATGCCATTTTACCATCAAGACAACCCGTTTGCTAGGTCTTTCTTTAGCAATACCTTTGGACGAAGCAGGGAACAGAGATTTGGACATAATTCTTTTTGGGGCCAACAAGAAGAACATTCTTCTTGGTCTGGCTTTCATCAAAGCAGGAAACCATTCACTTCTTCCGTCAGGGACTTTGAAATGATTTCCAGTGAAGCAAATAGTGCATCACCTGGTCATGGCCATACTGTTTCTTCTCAACACTGGGGATCATTTTCTCCTAGTTACAGAACAACTACTTCCAGAGACCAAGAAGAGCCACATCCCTCGCAGTTTGATTCTCAGACATCCATAGTGGAAAGCATGGAGGTGTCACAAGGTAATGGGAACCAGATGACTCACTTTGGCACACCAAATATTTGCTCCACGATTGATTCAAGCTATCACATCAAATCTCGTGGGTTAGAATGTCAACAGGAAAGTTCTCCTAAAGAAGTGCATGTCAACCAAGAACCTTACTCATTTGGAATTGCTCAGACTTTAGCATCCTCATTCACAACTTCCTTCTCCCATGTTCCTGAGGACAAAGGGAATCAACAGGGTCCCACCTTTCAGAATACCACAGTCACTTGGCAGAAAATTAAGCCTGCCTCTCTTCCAATGAGAAGCTACACAGAAGTCACCAGCAGCAGTTCAGTTGATTCTCCACCTCTTACTCAAAGCCAACCCAGTATCTTGGCCACAGAAGTGAATAATGAAAAAGACTTGAATGAGTCTATTTTGGAAAAAGACAAACAACTATATAAGATGGACCAGACAAACGCAACGAGTGAAATGCCCCAACCTGTTTCAGAGACAGTAATCTCTAACACGTTAGCTGATTTGCAAAGTCCCCTCTCCCAAGACTCAGCCCAAACCAAGAGATTTATTTTTAATGCATCTACCACCATAAGTTCAAAAAAGTCACCGAAAGTCATTTCCAGGAAAGATAACTCTAAACTTCATATATCACAGAGAGATAAAGCCAATGAACTGAAAAAAGATAAGGGTTATACTGAAAACCGAAAATTTGGCGCAGCAACTTCCTTTCCTTTCATTCAGGAATGCAGAGCACCATCATCTTCTCCTAGCCCAAATCAAGGTTGTTACCAGGAATTAACAGTAAGTAATGAAGACAGTTCAAGCATTATTGAAAGTAACCCCTGGACCTCTGAACCTACTGGTGATCAAAATGCACAATCTCCAGAAAAGTCCGGTATTTTAGATACCAAGGAAGAACAATGTACCAAAACTCATTTTACCAATTGTAGCAAGTCAACTACTGGCCACAATATGCCATGTGATTCTGTAGGTCTGTCATCAGGTATGCTGCCAGGTTCTCCACCATCCAGTGATTTTTTCCATGGTGATCAGGTGGTTCCTCCTACTACAGTGCTCTCCAGGGAAAGTCTTTCAGGCCAACATCCATCTCTGAGAGAAAGAGAAAAAGAAGACAATAATAGCAAGAATCAAAGTAATCAGTTAACTTGGACCCTTTCAGAAACTGAAAAGAGTGATGATAGTTGTATGCCTCTAAATAATGAAGTGATTGATGTCAAGTGCCATTCACATCCTCCTTTCAGGGCTGGAAAGGGAAAAGCAAAAATAAGACATATATCCTATATTGAAAAGTTGAGCAAAACAGAAAGTAAATCAACACCCACAAGTGGCAGCAGTAGCCTCATTGAGGTAAATCAAAGTGATTCCAAGTCTCCTGACCACACAATTTATTGTACCTTGCCAAGAAAAGCATCCAGTTTTCTCACTAATAGCAGGAAGTCAGAAAGTAAGATAATGGCTTCTTCATTTGGGAATGAGCCACTTCCACTCCAAATTGAAAATAATTTGGAAGATCCAATAGGGAAAGACACATCAAATAAATTCAACCCCAGTTCCGAGTCAGAAAGCAGATGTCCCAAAGTAGTTTCAGACTCAGCCTCAGTAGCACCTGAAGCCACAGAGAGGATGACAAATAGGACAAACATTGGATCTGCTTCCACTAGAAAAGGATCACTCCCATTCCTCATCAAGAGGGCTGTGTCCTGTCCTTCAGAGGCATCACATGCCTCATTTGGAAGAAATGAAAGAGAAGAATGCTTGGTTTCAGGCATGGATGCTTCTGCTATAACACTAAGACCTTGGGAGAAAACCACTAACCCTCTGGAAAGTGGCTCATCAGTTAGGGATTGTTCTTCAACCAAAAGACACCACCAAAAGGAACACTTTCAAGAATGCACGGAAAAGGATGGTGAAATCGCTGCCACCAAGACATTTTCCCTCTCAAAAGAAGACCCTTTACCTTTTTCTTCAGATATGTCAGGGGGAAAAAGTGGGAAAACATTACATAAATTTAAGACTACTAGTATGTTTTCTGTTTTTGGTAATGAAGATAATGTAAAGTGTCTTGAGGTAGTTTCAATATATTACACTCTACCAAGGAAACACAGCAAAAAATTATGTAACCTCCTTCAAAAATATACTCAAAACACCGATTTACTTCCAGAATCAACTAAAGTGGGGACTATAACGTATTCCAATGCTTTAGAAAAAGAAAGACTAAATTATTCCACACAAGAACAGTCAGGAACATCTTCATCTGAACACCTGAACACACTGGCCAGCTCTGCTCAGGAAAACAGCAGTTGTTTTTCTCCCAACTCTGAAAAGGTGGCTATTTTCCAGTTAGCAAGTACTAGCCCCTCGGAACCTACACTACAGGAAATGGCTCCAATAGGAGCAGATGTTTCTCTTCATAAAGGAGAATCTAAAACCAGAGAGATTGCCCCAGATAACTTAGCTAAAACACCTCTAGGTGATTCACAAAACAGGAAAAAGAGAGGGAAAAAGTTGCAAAGTAAAACCATGCATACTTCATTAATTCTTCAGGGAAAGGAAGTTACAAGAGAGAAATATGAAAATTGTCAGAACTCCATTAAATCACCTGACAGTGGTCCTAATCCTCCAGCCCATGCAGAAGGGGTTGCTCAAAATCCCCAAACCAGAGGAAGTTCTGGGGCATATGCAGGTAATGGTATAACCACCACAGTTACTGGAAGTGCAAAGTGTCTTCAGAAAGATACCACAGGCGTAGCTGAAGGTGATATCTCCAATGGATTGCAGCCTAGGGAAGTCAGAGGAGCAGATTTCCCAAAAAAGACTGATAAAGCACTTCCTGACTCAGGAAGCCAAGTCTTTGCTCTTACTCCAGCTTTGCATAAACTACATCTGGATGAGGAGATTTGTTCAGGTGAACAAGATTTAGACAGTTTGCAGTCTGAACCCGGAGAACTACCTCAAAGAAGTAAGGAGGTAAATCTGACAAAGAAGGGCAAGGCTAAAGAGGAAATGCAGAGGCTAGCATGGGATCAACCCTCACTTCCTGAAGGAAGTAATACAAGTAAAACCAGCTTGGATGACCAAGAGAAAGGGAAAAACAGATCCTCAGTTAAACACAGATTGGCAGCCATGTCCAAAGCAAGCAGAAAATTTCCAGCTAAAGATTTAAGCCCCAGAAGACATGTAGCTACTGTTTTCCCCCAAAGTGGAAACAGTTCTGGCTTCAGTGGTTTACCTCTTGGCACACCAGAGTGCAACCCACTGTCCCCTGAGCCTACTCCAAAATCCACAGAATCCACTGATGTAAGCAGTTTGAGTAATGATGGAATGGATGTGAAGAAATCCGAGAACCTTCTCCAGGTTACTGTAATATCCAACAGAGAAGCTGCTACACACTTAAGCAATCCAAAGTCTAACAGCATTTCACAACCACATCAGAATGAGTTTAAAAATATCTCAGAATCACCACCCAAGTATGAGAATTCTAAAGATGTAACAGTAGCTCGGATTTTGGGAAGAGAATCAGGTACCCTGACCCAACCCATATTCACCAGCCTCAGGGAAGCCGACTTCTCTAACCACCAGAGGAGGTTGAACCCTTATCTTCCAGGGGAGCCTGCAGAGAAATCTGCAGTAAGCATCCCCCTGGCCAGCTGTCAGCAGCAACAAAGGAGTGCTGCATCTCTGGAGTGGGAACCTGAGCTATACCCCTATCGTTCAAAGAGTTTAAAAAGCATCAATGTGCATGGTGATCTGTTACGAAAAAGTCATCCTCCAAAAACCAGGGAGCGCCATTTTTCTGAAAGCACTTCTATTGACAATAGCCTGAGCCATCTGACCCTTGGGGATGAGTTCTCTAACAACAATGGGTATACTCGAAAATTCAAATCTTCTTCTGAACTTCCATCTTACGATGGAAATGAAAATTGGGCTTTGTGTAGCAGCAGGATGAAAATGGGTCCCAAGTCTGCAACATCTATATCCAGACCTATCGACTATGGGATATTTGGGAAGGAACAACAGTTGGCTTTCTTGGAGAATGTAAAGAGGTCACTCACACAAGGAAGGTTATGGAAACCAAGTTTTCTGAAGAACCCTGGCTTCCTGAAAGATGACGTAACTCACCCTCCTAATCCTATGGAGCCATCAAGCTCAGATTCTCCTAGAAATCAGATGCCAGAGGATGGCTTACCTCCAAATGTACCACTTAATATCTACGAGGAGGACCCAGTAGACTCAGACTGTGACACAGACACAACTACAGATGATGAGTACTACCTGGATGAAAATGACAAAGAGTCAGAACTGTGAGGCTTTTTCAATAAAATGCATAATCTTTTCTCCAAAATCTAGTAATGGAAATAAAATGTAAATGTGTGTGTACATGGGAAGGACAGATATTTAAAAAAAAATAATCTATTTCTGAAGCAACCTGAATTCTTCACCCCAGAGCATGCATGTGTGTGTGTGTGGACACACACACACTTCCTGAATTCCAGAGCAATGCCTTCTTGTTTTGAGGGATTCTCTGCTATTTATCTGACTCTGTTTATATCCTTAGCTTTCCTTCCCATACCCAATTTAAGTCTCTAATTCACTTTTCAATGTTAGCTTTCCTCTCTGCTTCCCCCTAGACTGTTTTTTACACCTTTCATGTGATTTACAACCCTAATGTCCCAGGCACAGGTACAAAACTTGTTACTCAGTACAACTGCAAAACTGTATATTACTTCCTCTGGTCCACATCCCGTACTCATGGCATTAAAATAAAGGCATGATGACAGTGGAGTAAATATTGTCATCCCGTTTGATTCATCAGCATTTAGGAGGTCTAGGGTTTGTTTTGTTTTGTTTTTTCCTTCTTCTTCTTTCAAACAAAGATAAGGAAATTTTCATAAGGACATTCTGTTACATCCATGGTGGACCCAGAGAGGCACCTGTCTGAAGTGCTTGTGATAATAGATGAGGAGCAGAATTCCTCGTAGGCCAAGCAACAGTTGTACTCCCAGGAATTCCTTTGAAATTGTTTGCAGAAATTGGCTGAATTGTTAAGAGCTGAATTTTAATCAAGGACTGGGGCCAGGCAACCTGAGGGCACAGAAGGAGGCTTGGCCCCAAAATTTCTGCCTAGGAAAGAAACATAACTGAGTGGTGGAGATACGTAGACACGCCTTCGTGAGACTGCCATCCTTAATGCAGCCCTCTGAGCAGCTGGGTATTCCCACATCCTCAGACTCCATTTTTCTATTTTCCTCATTGCTAGATGGAACACTTTTTTCACTTTTTCCCATGTGCAGCATTTTAGTCATAAAGATCAAATGGTAGCCTTGGCCAGGTCCCTAAATGGCTGCCAAGTCAGACCTGACATCCTGAAATTCCCAGGCTTCTCTGTGGGATCATTTGCCAGACCCCTGGGAAATGATAAGGCAGAGCTTCTAAGGGCTTGTCACTGTCATTCTTTCAATAATTTGTCTAGACTAAGTAACTTCCCTTACACCCTGATAACTTGATTTTCCCAGCTCCTTAGTTGCCATGCAGAACTTTGGGGATTTCTTTTCCTAACCAGACCAAAGATAATTCACCAAAACTATAGAAAGCATGACATCTGGGTTTCAGTGCTGTGAAGGTCAATGTGAATGGATTTCACCTTGTTCGGTTTATCTTTGCTTCCTGACCTTATTTTATTTTCCATTTTTCTCACCCGTCTGTTTCATACATATGAATAAGGATAATGATAGGTGTTGGTGAAGCATATGGAGATCTGGAACTGATAAAATTCAAGAAAGTGTTATATTATCTTGTCTCCTAAATCATTGCCTTGCCTGGAAGCAAGATGCCAGGGCAAGTTTACCTGGTTCCCAAGCAACTCAAAACTGATAAAGATGTGTTCACTAACATGAATGCTAATCCTTAAGTCTGAAAATTGTTTTAAAACATCAGGACCTGAACAACCTTGATCTTAAAGAGACTGATAACAGAATTTTAAATGAACTCATCTGAGTTTTTCCATTTAAATTTGTATGGTAAAAAAATAAATAACATTTTATTTGTTTTATGTATGTTTGTAAGTTCTACCTTTCCTTTTTATTATTTATCTGATTATTTAAGTAAAATTTTTATAAACCATGACCTATATTTTCTATATAATTTAAAGATATTCGTTAATATTTTAACAATAAAACTCTTGATTTTTTTTTAATGATCAGCTTGCAAGTTCTAGTTCAGTAAATACCTGAGTGTGCATGTATGCTACAAAAGGTAGAATGAAGTTAGTTTATTTTTCACTGAGTTTAGGTTCTATCAACATTGTAACTAAACATTCTTAACACAGGTAAGATAAGGTGAAGATAAACTCCTTTGGGGCCCTGATTTTTTGCACTAGAATCTACTATATCTGAATTCAAAGGTAATTGATGGTCAACACTCACTTGCACTATTTGTAATATTTGCTTGTTGCCTGGCTAAAGAATCAAGACAACAGAAAATTCATTAAAATAGCACCTTCTATAGTTTTATACTTTTATAAAGCACTTCATTAAAGAAGTATTGCAATTTCTATGTATTTTAACATACAAACTGCTGCTTTTTAATACTCATTTTTCATATAGCAATAATTTCTAATAGTAATTTTTATACTTATAACTTGTTTTCTAAAGATGTTATCATTGCAATAAATATTCACATAAATGGAATAAACCAGGAGGTAAATTATTAACTTGTTTAGATAATGAACTTCTGTAACCATAAATTTTTACATGTAAAGTCCATTTAAAATAGGGCTTAATGAGATTATTTTGATTTTTCGAGACTTTCCTCTAAATTACTCTCTTACATTGTAAATACATTGATGTCAATAAAACTCCAATTGCTACTAACAATGCTTTAGTTGATGATAAGCTAATAAAAGCTATTTTGTGTAGGAGGTAACTTTGTGCCTATACTGGAAGTGATGAAAGAAAGTTCACTTAGGTTATGGTGAAGATGAAAATCAAGTTGGAAAATTCACACCTCCATAAAAGTAATACACACCATTGAATGCCAGAGGGTTAAAGAGGCCTTATTGCTAAGAGTTTATTGTTAATAGTATAATGCTTCAGAATACCCCACTTAAATATACAGTGTATATATGTAAATATGTAGGTATTTTATTTTTAAAGCAAGTTTGTGATGTGTTACCACTTAGGGGCTCTTTGTGACTGGCACTTCTGTGTTCTGAAACAAATAAGCCTTAAGCACTTTTGTTAAAATGTTGTCAAATAATCCTTTTATGTACTTGTGCTCTAGATACGAAATGTGTTATAAGACAAAGCGCAAATTTAAAACAATGCCTGTGTTGAAATAAATGATTTAAGTAAATGCACTGCTTGACTTAGTTTTTATTCCCATCCTCAAATGATGACTTTTAAATGTGAAAGTTTCAGGAAAACTACAAAAAGAAGGGGCAGAGTACAAAAACATTCAAACAAATCTTTTTGGTGGCTACTGAATGAGATCAACCATGTGAGTTGTTTTAAAACACAGTGACCTCTCTCTTCTATTTGTACCCAAAAGCAGCCAACCAACAAATGTACCTGGTGCCTAATAGAGGATCAATGAATCAAGTCTGGCATTTCTCTGCGAGCTCCTGCATTTGCAGAGGAAGAGAGAGCTGCATGGCATTGGGGCATCTATCGGCCAGTAGTGCTAATGAAAGATAAGCAGACCTTTCCAATTGGAATATAAGATATGCAGTGTTAATTCCTGCTAAACAAATTAATAGATTTATCTTTTCTAAAAACACATCTCAAAACTTTTTCTCTCCCTCCAACAGGAGAGTGTCATCAACCTAAATATAGGCAGTATTTTATTCAAAATATTTTTGCTGTCCCTTATTAAAATTTAAAATACATTGGATCAGCTAGGATTTTTAGTCATGGACAAAATAATGCTCCCTAGATGGTTCAAGTAGAAAAGGATATATTAAAGGATATATACTTTGCTTGCAACCATGCTGGTAGGTCTGAGGAAACAGCTGAAATTTCAGGACCAATCCCTAAAACCGTGCCACAGAATTGGATTTCTATGAGAGCTGCTGTCTGTTATGACCAGGAAGATGCAGAATCAGGAAGCTGAGTGAGTCAACACAGTGAATCACCATATTCATTTTCCCCAGAAATCAATAAAAATCAAAGCAATAGTATATATAAACTTATACATAAGAATGTTTGCAGCCAAAACTGGAAACAGTGAATAAAAATGAGTGAATACATTATGGAACATACACATGTAATACTATGAAACCATTAAAAAGAATAAAATAAAACTATATAAGTGGACTTGGAAGAATTTGCATGAGTACTGTTGAGTGAAAAAAGCAAAATCTCAGTTTTGTAAATATTAACCAAACAACCTGCATATGCATGTGTACATAGGGAGGGAATGCATGCTAGGCTATTAATGTCAGTTGCTTTATGGCAGGGGGTAGGGGTGGGTGGAGGTTGAGGGCTGCCTGCTGGAGGGTATGTTCACGAACAGCAGGAAAGAAAGAGGAAGGATAGCAAGATCCCCTAAAAAAAACTGGAAATACACATGTATATATAGAATTATACATGTATGTATAATTGTGATATATTATGCACTTAGAATATATCAGTGGGTATGCAGATATAAAATTAAAGATGATCTTTTAAAAGATTTACCATCCAGGAGAATATCTAGTGTTATTTTCTTTTAAAAAAACTAAAATTTGTACTTGATTTTGTGAAACATTGTGTTTTTTGTTTTATTAAGATACAATTGACGAATGACACTGTATTGGTTTAAGATGTACAGCATAATAACATGACTTACATATGTTGCAAAATGATTACCTCAGTAAATTTAGTTAGCATCCATCATTTCACAGATACAAAAATAAAACCTTTTCCATTGTGATGAAAACTTTTAGGAAACATATTAATTAAATAAATGCTAATGTTAATGAAAACTTTTAGGAACATATGTTAATAAATGTTGGCATTAATGAAAACTTGTAGGAAACATGTGTTAATAAAATAAGTGTTAGCATTAACTTTTCCTCTAAGCTTCCTTCCCAACCATCCTTTCCAGAGAATGCTGTCATTATAGTCTAGAATAAACTCAACATACTTATAGAAACGTGCTGGAGGTATGTAGTGGATACTGATGTAATTGTCTATCCAGGAGACGCTTTTTTCTTTTCTCTGGAAACTCCATTTCATGACTGACACCCCTCCCCCAATGTCATCACCACATGATCACTGTGGAAGAATCTACGTTCTTATATGCCCCTAAGAGCCTGGGCACAGTTGACTGGTTCGGGGATGAGTGCCCGACAAATGGCGAGTTGTGTTTTAGGAGGAAATACCCCTATACTATGAGATTCTGAATGCAAGTTAATATTCAAACCAATTGCCTCACAATCTAAAATTCACCCTAGGAACTGTAATAAGGGGAAATTTGTATCCCCAGGACGTTGCAGAATGCATGACAAATAGGGTACTGAATAAATATTATTGAAATTAATTAAATATTTATGCATTTTATGGGATCTAAGCTCACCTAAGTCCCTGTAAGGTTTTTATTAATTAATGACACTGAAAATGAGACAGTTCCCTGATGTCAAGAGAGGAATTAATCATGAAGATACATGCATATCCCTGAAACCAAGGGCAGAGATGCTGCTGATGAACTGTACCAAGCCTGTATAGTGGCTTATATAGAAAACTCCATTTCATCTACAAGGGCATAAATGGTGAAGTTTACATTGCCTCTGTTTAAGAGAACAGTCAGTTATAAATTGAAATCTCTTAACTTTGATTTTTAAACTCTCAAAAAGATCTTGTTTAGTCCAAATTATGGGACAGACAACTGTGGCCATGGGTTAAGGCGATGTTTTACAAAGCCTTGCTGTTAATTGTAGATTGTAAAGGGAGGGAAAAAAGAGGAGCAGTTACTAGAAAGGAGTAGAAATGTTATGAACCAAGTGGACAGTTAATAGCTGTGAAGCTTACATATCTTTAATGTGAGGATTCCAGGGGTCAGTGAAATTCATAAAAGTATGTTGAATGTAGATCTTCCAGAGTCACACACAGACCACAATTAGTGTCTGAGACTGGAACTCAATATAGAGATGAATGTGAAAGGGAAGAGAAACTTCTTGAAGTGTGTTGTTTACTTCAAGCTTTGCATGTGACTTTTCTATTGCCTGGAAAGATCTTCCCCCTTCCTGTGGCAGATTCCTATTTGACTTTCGTGCTTTGGCACAGACGTCATCTCTTCCAGAAAGCCTCTCTGAATTCTGCCGCGATTAGGTTAACTGGACTTCATATGACGTACTTATGTTGGGACAGGCAGTTTGCCATGGGCCCTGAACATCCCTGAAATTTTTGTGGGTATGCCAAGAATGTAAGTCCTTGACTACTCTTTACCCCTGCCATTTCTCTTGTGTTTGCGGCAAGCAACCTGGAAGGATGAGATAAGCTCTCCTCACGAACACAGAGCAGGCTTAATTCTCCTTACTCTAAAAGCAGGAATCCCCTAAATGCCATGTGCTTCTCTTCCAATGCTGGCATCCATGGTAGTCCTTTTGCACTTTTCCCACTGGGTCTGGAAGCATGTTGGTTTGTTAGGGCTGCCATAACAAAATACCATAGACTGGGTGGCTTAAAAAACAGAATTTCTTTTCTCACACTCCGGAGGCTGGAAGACCAAGATCAAGTCATCTACAGGTCCAGTTTCTTCTGAGGCCTCCCTCCATGGATTGCAGATAGCTGCCTTCTCACTGCATCCTCACATCATCTTTCTTCTATGCTCAAACTATCCCAGTGTCTCTGTGGGTGCCAGAATTTCCTTTTCTTCAAAGGACACCAGCTAGATTGGATTAGGACCTGCCCCAAAGGCATTTTAACTTAATCAGCTCTTTAAAGGCCCTATCTTCAAATACAGTCAAATTCTGAGGCCCGGGGTTAGCGCTTCAACAGATGAATTACGGAAGATCACATTTCAGCCCATAACAGGGATCACGGCGATCCAACACAAACCAACGCGAAGCCGTGGCTACTGCCTGTGCAGTGACTAATATAGTTCTCTGTCTCTGATCCAGGAGTCAGTGTCTTTTGACAGCATCCATGAAACAATAAAGACTAATTAGTGAGTTTGTAAGTAGAATAAAATCCCAGACCCCACACAATTCCTGACACCCTTATTTTAGCACCTATTACTACGTACACTGCCTCTCTGTCTTTCTTGTCCACTAAACCACAGGAGGTTTAATGTCAAAGAATAATGTCTAAAACATAGTAAACATTGAATTAATGTTTGTGAAGTAAATTAAATTTGATTTATGATAAAGTATCTGGTCAGGCATTTGTTGATCTGAAGAGATATACTTTATAAGATACAGATTAAGATGAGAAAGAAAACAGGTTGGTACAGATTCAGTATCGCTAAAGGAGTGTTCAGATACAATTATGTCTTCCTTGATGTGTTTTCAAAACAACTGGGTGTTGCCACCAGTGTTATATAATTTATTAGGCCACATTTTATTATCTCCTACCAGCTAACCCTCAGATTACTTCTCTGGAAACTTTTTAAAGTTTGATTTTGGAAGAATGTGAACAAAGTGTTCCAAGTAATTTTTTTTTAAGTGATAGCTAGAGCACAGCAAAGCTTTCAACATGCAGACGCCCCTACAAAACAAAATTTAGCAATGAAATTAATACCAAGTAATGTCACACTTTAGCTCTACAATTTACCTGACTTACGACAAATTCCTGAAAATCCAGAGTATGGAGAACACCGTCAACAACCAGTGAAACTCCCTGTCTAAAGGCATTTCCCTAAACTATATTAAAGTTCGCCGCTGGGTTCTTTCGTCCCAAGGAAGTCACTACTGTGTTTGCCTCTTTTAAAGTACAGTATCAGAAATGGAGTAGCCAAAGAACTTAAACGCAGGACCCGTGAACATGAACAATGATGTATGTGGGGCTTGCCTGAGGGAGTCGGGGGTGCTGGATGGAGGGTGCAAAAGGGAAAAAATTGGGACAACTGTAATAGCGTAATCAATAAAATATAATTTAAAAATACAAATAAATTTTAAAAAGAGAAAAAACTGTTTCCTCAAAGCAGTTAGCAAATTCAAGCAACCGGAAGTGGAGGCCGGGTGTGCCAAGGCCTTGGCGATCAACCAAGCGACTCTCGCCCTTAGTTTCTCTTTGCCAGACCTACATTCCGGTTCGCAATGCGGTCCATGAGCCTGGCGGAGAACGAGACTGGCCTATCTCCGACCCCCAAGCAGAGCGCCAGGCCAATGACTACCCCGCACCCTCGCTTAGCGGCCGGGAGAGGGGCGCGGGAGGGCGGACGGCGAGCTTAGGCCCGCCCCGAGGTGTGCCCCCGCCCCCGCCCCCGCCCGCGGCGCTGCCCGCCCCTTCTCGCCGCCGCGGAGCTGGACCGCAGCGGCCGGGCGACCATGGGCCGCCTCCCGCGGGCCCTGCTTCTGCTGCTGCAGCACTCGGCGCTGGTGGCCGCGGGGGCAGCCGAGGCGTCCGTTAGCGCGCCGCGGAGCCTGGTGTGGGGCCCCGGGCTGCAGGCGGGCGTCGTTCTGCCCGTCCGCTATTTCTACCTGCAGGCCGTCAATTCGGAAGGCCAAAACCTCACTCGCTCGCCCCCAGGTAGCGTTCAGCCGCGAGCCTCGCTTGCCCCGCTGCCCACTCTCCTGCGCCGCCGCCGCGACCGCGCTTCCCGGGAAGCTGCGCGCCGCCCGCGTAGTGCCCCTCCCTGGCGTGCTGTGTCGCCCTTCCTCGGGTCGGTCACCTCCTTTTCCCTTCTCCCCGACACAAAAGAGGGCTGGGAGGAGTCGCAACAAAATGTACGAATGTATGAATGAGTGTTTGAATGAACTGCGAGGGCCTTTCCTCAGGCAGCTTGCAGGGACTGGTGTGACGATCGCGCGGCAACCGGGGTGTTAAGGAACGCGGAGTGAGTCACGTCGGAGACAGTCTCCCCGCCTCCGGCTCCGAACGGCCCCGGCGGGCAGGGAGTGCCTCCACGCGCCGAGACGGCGAGAGCGAGAATAGTGTCGGGTTACGTTGCCGGGGCCTGCCGGGTTGAAACTGCTAAATTCCACACAAAGGGAATGTCAGAGCAGGAGGCCGAAGGGAGGCGGTTTTTGCTGGATTTTTGTTTTCTTGAAAGCAGATTGAGAGAATTAGTGAAGCTCAGTAAAATGTCCGGAATCCCTCTGCCTAATTGTCCTCCCGCATTTTTTTTCACATCCTACTTTTGGAACTTCTTACAACTTGTCCTGCTGGTTTCAAGTTGTTGCCAGTCAGGATTTGCTAATGTATGTCTAATTTATGTCCTGCCAGCTGGCACACTGCTTTAGCAACAAAGAATCAATCAGAATTACCCAGTGCCTCTTCCACTGCTAGTGAAAAGTTATGACAGCTTAATTTTAGTTTTAGAAAGACTTTCCAGGGCCCTAAGAATCAGAAGAAGAGATTCTTAAACCCAGATTCTAAGTCTTTCACTACGGCGTGTATTTTCTTTATAGTTTTTTTTTTGTTTTTGGTTTTTATTTTCTAAAAGTAGTTCTATAATATTATAATGGGGGACCGGAGGCTTTAGGAAGAAAAGAAGATGGAAAACTAAAAAATTTAGTATCTACATGAAAAAAGAAAATTAAAACATGTTCCAAAATAAAATACTGCTAATCTTATTATTAATAAACTATAAATCAAAATAAAATTCCATTTTTATTCTAAAAATATTGGCAGTTTTTTTAAAAGTAGTAATACTCAAAGCTGTTAAGGGAGCCATGAGTTACCCTCAAACAGTGATCTTTATCATCTGCTAATGGAACACAAATTGATCAAGTGTTTCTGGAAAGTATGTTTGTCCAAATGTAACAAGAGTCTTAAACATTTACATACCTAATGTACAAAAAAAGTCAGTTTCAACTGTTAGAAAAATCTCATTTGTAAATGTCACTTACCTTTGATCTAGTAAACTGACTTCTAGGTATCTGTCCTGAGATAATGATCGGAATGTAGCCAAAGATTTTCACATACATTGATATTCTTGCAGCATTATAATTGTTTATTACAATAAGTTTAAATAACCAACCATAATGTAATTGCTAAATAAAATATTCCATGTGATGGAATATTTGACAGCCATTAAAAGTAATGTTTTACCAAAGGGCTGATGGAAGAGGGAAATGGGAAATTGTTAAAAGGGTATATAATTTCAATTTTGCAAAATGAAAAAGGTATAGAGATTCATTGCACAAAAGTGTGACTATATTTAACACTACTGAACTGTATACTTAAAATGGTTAAGATGGTTAAATTTATGTTATGTGTGTTTTCTACAATTTTTTAAAATTTTGAAGTACGTTTTAAAAACATGCTTATATTAGGTTAAGAATGGAATAAACAGGAAACTATATAGTTTCATTCTAATTTTGTTATCAATAAGTTAACCTTTATCTCATTCATTAGTGGCATCAGTGGTTATAGCACGAGAGTAAGGAAATGTTTTTCACTTTTCTTTTTTCCCAAGAAAATTTATCCAAGAAAAAAGTTTTAAGGAAAAAAACAGACTTTCACCAAGCCTTTATAGATGACCTCGATTTCATTCCATCAGATGCTGCTTGTTTCTTCTCAGGTCACCTGATTTCTAGCTTCCATTCAAAAGGATGGCTGGTAGTTCTGAAAAACAAACCCAACCAGTTTCTTACATCTTCTGCCATCATCATTCATTTGTAAGTTCTGAAATTTTTCCTACTCCAAGAACTAAATGGAAACAAGGCATACTTTTCCCAAGCTGTGAATTGTCTTACATGACTTACCAAGATTCCCTTATTACTGTAATTATCACTCTCATTTAATAGGGTCTGAATACCATTATTATGTTGCATATTTCCAGGTACATAGATAGCAAACATGTTGTGAATTTGAATGGTCTAAATCAGGGGGCCTCAAACTGGAGTCCACTGACAGAAATTAGGGGGTCTAGGACCTTGGATGGGGGGAAAAAACTGTATCTTTATTTTCACTAACCTCTGACTTAAATTGAATATTTCCTTCTGTTATGAATGTAGACAGAACCTGTTGATATTTTTATATTCCCAGCATCTAGTACAGTGCCTGGCAGAGATGCTCAGTAAATTATTGTAGAAGAAAAGAAAGAAGAGGTACAGGGAAGGTCATTGGAACATGTCAAGATGGTAGGATATAAATACGCTTCACCCGTGAACAACATGGGGGTTATTGGTGCTGACCCTGGCAAATAGAAAATCCATGTATAACTTCTGACTCCCCCAAAACTTAACTACAGTGTTTCTCTGTATCAGAGGGTGATTGGTTCCAGGACACCCACAGATACCCGAATTCACAGATGCCCGTCAAATTAACCTTCTGCATCCACGAATTCCCAATGATGGATCAAAATACTGTTTTCAATCTGTGGTTGTTTGAATCACAAATAAAACCCAGGAAAATGGATGCTGGCTGGTGTGGCTCAGTGGACTGAGCACTGGCCTGTGAACCAGAGGGTCGCTGGTTCAAATCCCAGGCAGGGCACATACCTACCTGGGTTGCGGGTCAGGTCCCCATTGGGGGGCCCGTGAGAGGCAACCACACATTGATGTTTCTCTCCCTCTCTCCCTCCATTCTCCTCTGTCTAAAAATAAATAAAATATTTTTTTAAAAACCAGGAAAATGGAAGGCAAATTGCATATGAATTGAAAAAAATCTGCATATAAGTGGAACCAAGCAGTTCAAACTCAGGCTATTCAAAGGTCAGCTGTGTTTTTTATTCATTCCTCTCCTACCTTCCTCAGTAATGATATTTTCATAAAATAGTCTTACCTCCTGGTTGTGTACTTTTCCTTTTAAACTTGCTTTATTTAATTTGTTCTCCTAAATTGTCTTGTAGTGGAGGAAGGACAGATACTCTTTCACTTTACACAGAAGAAACCGAGGCTCAGTGAAGCTAAAATGCCTTGCCCATGGCCCCCTAATTATTACGTGTCAGCATCAACTGTGGAATATGCAGTTCAGTGCTCTTTCCCTTTCATCAAACCATCAGTAATCTGATTGTTGTGCACGGTCAGCAGGTAGCCAGATATTTTTGGAGGATTCCATTTAGCCTCAGGACAAAACCAGTTTGCCTTCTGGGACTCTTTCCCTTGGTCATGTGGGGTCAACACTTTGGTTGCAGCTGCAGAGAGCCTTACTAAACTTCCCAAACAATGGGGGAGAGACAATAACTGCATTCAAAGGAGAGAGCCAGAGATTAGTTCTCCACCTTTGAATTCTTCAAACCTGTATGCTAACATTACACGATGTGACCAGGCGTATTCAGGATGGGCTTTGAAAGAGAAGGATTCAAGCTGTGTTCAAATGTTCAAATATTGGCTCAGCTACTCTTTTTTTAAAAAAATTCAATATTGTATTTTTTTCCATTACCATTTAGTCCTTTTACACCCCGCTCCCTCCAGCAATCACCACACGGTTGTCCATGTCCATGAGTCGTTTGGCCTTTTTCCTTAATCCCTCCACCTTCTCACCTCCAATCCCCACCACCTGCCATCCTACTCTCCGTCTATGAGTCTGTCCCCATTTTCCTTGTTAATACAGTTTGTTCATTAGATTCCACATATGAGTGAAATCATATTATATTTTTCTTTCTCTGGTGGGCTTATTTCACGTAGCACAATGTTCTCCAGGTCCATCCATACTGTCGCAAAGGGTAAAATTTTCTTTTTTACAGCCAGGTAATATTCCATTGTGTAAATGTCTCATAGTGTTCTATCCACTCATCTACTGATGGACACTTGGGTTGCTTCCATAACTTGGCTATTGTAAATAATGCTGCATTGAACACAGGGATGCTTATGCTCTTTCAAATTAGTGTTTTGTGTTCCTTCAGCTATATTCCCAGAAGTGGGATCGCTGGGTCAAAGGGCAGATCCATTTTTAATTTTTAGGGCAGCTCCATACTGCTTTCTACAGTGGCTGCACCAGTCTGCATTCCCACCAACAGTGCAAAAGGGTTCCCCTTTCTCCACATCCTCACCAGCACTTGTTTGCTGATGTATTGATGATAGCCATTCTGACAGGTGTGAGATGGTATCTCATTGTGGTTTTAATTTGCAGTTCTCTGATGATGAGTGACATTGAGCATCTTTTCATATGTCTATTAGCCATCTGTAAGTCCTTTTTGGAGAAGTGTCTATTCAGGTCCTTTGCCCATTTTTCAACTGAGTTATTTGTTTTTTTGGTGTCGGGTTTTAAAAGTTCTTTATAAATTTTGGATATTAACCGCTTATCAGATATATTGGGGAATATGTTCTCCCATTTTGTGGGTTGTTTTTTTGTTTTGTTAATGATTTCCTTTGCTGTGCAGAAACTTTTTAGTTTGATATAGGCCCATTTATTTTTTTGTTTGTTTCCCTTGCCTCGGGAGATATATCCGATAAAGTGTTGCTACGAGCAATGTCCAAGATTTTACTGCCTATGTTTTCTTCTAGGAATTTTATGGTTTCAGGTGTAACATTGAAGTCTTTGACCCATTTTGAATTTATTTTTTTTTTCAAGTACCTTTCTTTAAAAAAAAATATTTATTTTTTAGAGAGAGGCAAAGGGACGGAGAAAGGGGGAGAAACACCAATGAGTGGTTGCCTCTTGTGTTCCCTCCCCCACTGGGGACCTGGCTCTCAACCCAGGCATATGCCCTGTCTGGGAATCGAACCAGCGACCTTTTGTTTTGCAGGCCAGCACCCAATCCGCTGAGCTGCACCAGCCAGGGCTGAATTTATTCTTGTGTGTGGTGGAGGAAGGTGGTCTAGTTTCATTTTTCTGCGTATATCTGTCCAATTTTCCCAACACCATTTATTGAGTACACTATCTTTAAGCCCATTGTATGTGCTTGCTTCCTTTGTCAAATATTAATTGACTATAAAGGTGTGGGTTTATTTCTGGGCTCTTCTGTTCTGTTTCATTGATCTCTGTGTCTGTTTTTATGCCGGTATCATGCTGTTTTGATTACTATGGTCTCGTAGTATTCTTTGATATTAGGTAGCATGATTCCTCCAACTTTGTTCTTTCTCAGGATCACTGTTGGTATGCAGGGCTTTTTGTGGTTCCATATAAATTTTTGAAATATTTTTTCTAGTTTGTGAAATACATCATTGGAATCTTGATAGGAATTGCATTGAATCTGTGTATTGCTTTGGGTAGTACGGACATTTTAATGATGTTAATTCTTCCTATCCATGAATATGGTCTGTGCTTCCACTTATTTGTATCTTCTTCAGTTTCTTTCAGTGTCTTATAATTTTCCAAGTACAAGCCTTTAACACCCTTCGTTAGGTTTATTCCTAGGTATTATTCTTTTTGTAGCAATTGTGAATGGGATTGTTTTCTTACTTTTCCTTTCTGTTAGGTTGTTATTGGCATATAAAAATGCAACTGATTTTTAGATAAAACCCAGCACCCATTTATGATAAAAACTCTCAGCAAAGTGGGATTAAAGGGAACATACCTAGACATAATAAAGGCCAAATATAACAAAACTACTGTCAGCATCATACTCAATGGGCAAAAACTACAATGTTCCCCTTAAGATCAGAATCAAGACAGAGATGTTCACTTTCACTTCTCTTATTCAACATAGTACTGGAAGTCCTAGCCACAGCAATCAAACAAGAAGAAGAAATAAAAGGCATCCAAGTTGGAAAGGAAGAAGTAACACTGCCATTATTTGTAGATGACATGACAATGTACATAGTGTATCTAGAGAACCCCAAAGGTTCCACCAAGAAAGTACTAGAACTGATCAATGAATTCAGCAAAGTAACAGGATACAAAGTTAATTCAGCTACTCGTAAATGTGTGAGCTTGGATGACTTAACTGTTTCAAGGGAGTGTTGGTCTCCTGATCTTAAAATGAGGGAAACAATACCTACCTTACAAGTTCTTTTTTTTAGAGAGAGAAACATCAAATCATTGTTTCACTTATTTATGCATTCATTGGTTGTATGTGCCCTGACAGGGGTATCGAACCCACAGCCTTGGTATGTGGACTATGCTCTAACCAACTGAGCTACCTGGCCAAGGCTCTACCTTACAGGCTCTTATAGGAAATAAAATACATGTGAAAACTTCAAGCTTATAGACTGGCACATAAGTGCTTAGTGAATTTTTTAAAAATGTTTTTTATTTCTTTCCAAATCAAAAGTCGAAAATTTATGGTTCTGATGATGTAATAAGACTTTGATACTGCCAGCCTCTTTCTGTCTACATAGTCACCGCATTCTCATTCAATTAGCTTTTCAGTTTGTGGAGTAGAAAAAACTCAAGCTGAGTTTCAATTCTGTTCCATTATATTGGCGCCCAGAGCATGAAGTTCTCATTACTTCATTTTGAAGAAATTTGCAATTGCATTGTTCTTATTTTCTCTTTTATGAAGTTGGAGTTGCTTATTTACATTTAAGTACTGATCATTATTATTTTACATTGATTCTAATATTAATTTCATGCCAACAATGACACAACCATGAAAGATTACTATAAAAATAACCATTTAAAATATGTATGTCCAATGGCTATATTTTTATACATTGATTTTGAAATATACCTTTTAAATGCTATTTCAGAGTAAAAAATAAAATGTTGTGACTGAAAGAAACTGTAGAGATCTAGTCCAATACTTCCAATTTAAAAATAATGAAGCATTTTAGAGTTATTTTTCTCCTGTAAATCCATCCAGCTCATTCTAAAAATAATCAGTCATTGCAGTACCTGTCTTATATTTGTTTTGTTTATTAAAATTATAAATTTATTGCGAGCAGAACTATCTGATCAGGAGACATGAAAACTTTTTTGCACTGTTTCTAGTCTGAGAGGGAATAATGGAAATGACTGTCTCGTCCCCAGACTCTGCCTTTCTGTTTTTTGCTCTGCTACACCTGGTTGCCATTCTGAAACCAAGTGGGTAATAAGATAAATCAATAACTTATGCGTTTCATTAAGCATTTCAGGTAATGGGCCAAGTTTTAAATAACTTCACATTAAACTATTATCTTTATTTTAAAGCTCCCCCCCGCCATTTATTATAGGGCATTTATTTCGGCAGATTTCTTTAATAATTTTGTCACATTTATTTCAAATATCCTAAAATGTATGTGTTTGGTACTTAATTATTTAATAGCAAGATGTTAGATACTACATTACTGTTACTAAATTGAAGAGACTGAGAAACATTTCTCCTGACCCATGAGAAAAAAATGAAACCTGTGAACACCAAAAGAAAGTAGAAATTTTACTCACTACACTTAAGAAATAAAAACAGGAGATACAAACTTTTTCAGTAATTTCAAAAATAAATACAAGAGTGGGCAAAAGTTGATTTACTGTTTTGAGTATGTGAAATACAGAGTTCATTTTTGTATTATTTATTTATTCATTATTGTATTATTTATTACAAACAACTGTAAACCTATTTTCCCCACTCCTGTATTAAATATTCTTAATTTCATAATATGAGGGATGTGAGATGAAAGAGTACTTTGGTACTTATTGTTTATTAGGGAGTGGATTTCAGAGGATTCACTACTTTTTGAAAAGTGATTAATTGTGGTTAGGACATTAACTAATCTTTATTCTTAAAGCTCCTAAGGATCAGATCTGCACTGAGTGCACACACATCCTTTGTACTCTCAGGAAAAAGGCCTCAACATTTATACCTGGGCCACAGTAACATTATTCACAACAGTATTGTTCCAAAAGGAAAATATGTTGGCTATATCCTTCCAAAAGAGAAAGGCCAGTTTCTAAGTAGGTATTATTTACCCTGAAACAGAAAACCCACAGAATTTGGGAGTGAAAAGAGATGTTAGACCATCCTTGTATAACTGTTTCATTTCAACCTGAGGAAACTAGCTTAGAGAAGTAAACTCTAGTAGTTACAAAGGTGTGTGACTGAGTGTTTATGTGTGTGCATTTGTGCATGGTCTGGAAACTAGCTATAAGCTCCCTTTACTTAAGGAAATGGGCTTAGATGTATAACTTGCAATTTGGGTTAAGGGAAAACTTTTTCAGAAATGAGGGTTATTTGATATTAAAATGGTTTACAGAGAAAGCTTGTGTATTTCTTACAAGGAGAAAGTTGGATTGCCTTAGAGCTCTGTCATTCCAACATTCACTGATTTTTAACTCCCAGGACTTTCAATCTACCCAAAAGAGAAAAGATCAAATAAGCAAAAAGTTAATTGCTTTCCTTGCCTTATTTATGAATTAATTTTGTTCATTCGATAAACCTTTATTGAATGAGTAATGAATCAATGTTGAATCAGGTCCTTGGTTTGAAGACATAACCAGAATAGTTTCTGACCTCAAGGATCTTCCAAACTAAAATGATTTTTGTTTACCATTGACACTAGAAAAATAAGTACCTTCTGTGTAGAGACAGCTATCCACTAATTGTTATGACAAAGTAACTGTGAAGTAGCAGAGTCATTTATATATGTTTTTCTTTCAGGTCAAACACATTTCAAAGTAGTAATCAAATCTCTTTCACCTAAAGAAGTAGTACGTATTCATGTCCCTATACCTTTGGACAGGAATGATGGGACATTTCTGATGAGGTATAGGATGTATGAAACTGTTAATGAAGGGCTGAAGATAGAGGTCCTCTATGGTGATGAACATGTAGCCCAGTCTCCCTATATTTTGAAAGGTAAGTGACGATTACATAATCCAGAGTCAGCCTCATGTGTAGATCCCATGCCTCTCACATTGGGCCATGATGACCTTGAAGTCATATGTAACAAACTAAATATGGTATATATATCTCCTGAAGCTCAATTTAACTTGAAATTTTAAGGAAAAGAAAACTACATAATTTAAAGAGATTTAAATACTAAGAAAAAGATCTTGGATATTTAGCCATTATATAGTCCCCATTTCCAGTATTCTTCATTCTTTGCATAAGGTAAATTGCATTACATTCATCAGCCATTTATAACTCACTAGGAATACATTTATCAGCTAATTTAACCAAGAATAGGTTATATTGGGAGAGAGCATTTGCTATATACCAGGTCGTCTAAGGGGATGTGAAAGGGAGATGGAAAATAGAAGCACAGGACTCTGATATATCTACTCTCACCACTGGTGTATTTAGGGCAGATTTTCCCTGTCTCGATAATCTTAGAAGTCATCCCATGTTCCCGTAAGGGGCAGAAACAACTCCCTGCCTTCTGCTGGGTAAAAAAGCGTGGCATCATGTGTGTTTTGCCTTCCCTAGGACCGGTATACCACGAGTATTGTGAATGTCCAGAAGAGGATCCTCAGACCTGGCAGAAAACTCTTTCTTGTCCAACCAAAGAACCACAGATTGCAAAAGATTTTGCTGCTTTCCCCAGCATTAATCTCCAGCAGATGCTAAATGAAGTTCCTAAAAGGTTTGGGGAAGAGAGGGGTGCCATTGTTCATTACACGATTCTCAATAACCACGTCTACCGGAGACCTTTGGGGAAATACACAGACTTCAAAATGTTCTCAGATGAGATTTTGCTATCACTGGCAAGAAAGGTATGAGAATGAATTCATTGATTTTAAAAACAATATAATTTAAATATTTAATTGTAACATTGAAATACTTAGGAGAAGAGTGACAAAGGATGGAAATGGATTCCAGGCTTTGGAAATGTGCTTATAAGATACCTACCTCCTGAGTGTTGATAGGTTCTCCACTTTCATGGATCTCCCTTTCTGTTAATATTTACATTAAATGACTTTAGCCTTTATCCCAGATAAGCAGGGCACAGGGCACTGCCACGGTTTCTGTGAACTCCCAGACATTCACAGCCTCAAGGTCACTTCCAAAGGGTTTCCATTCCTGCTGAATAGTCCTTCCATTCCGATTTTACTTTCTGCAGCTGTTTTCTTCTTGTCACCTCAGAATGGAAACAACTTAGAATGTGTTGATTTTTGAACATATCTTTCTTGTTTTACTATAAGCACCCTAAAAGATACTGTGTATAGAAGGTTAAAGGTTGTAATAACAGAGAAAAGTTATTTTGCACCAGTACATAGTAAAATCAATCAATCAATCAATAGACAAAAACCCTAACATTTAAAAATCGATACCCCTGTATTAATGAGACTCAGTTACAGGCCCCCCCCACCCGCCCCCTATTTCAGCCCTTCTTTCCCCATTTGCAAGACTCTTAAGCAGAGTAATTCAAAGTGACTTTTGTTCTTCTTCCTGACCACTAAGGAGTGAAGATGGGCAATTTTTACATTTCCCCCTCAGAAAGACCATCAAGGTAGTTTTCCAAACCAAAAGCGAAGTTTCCTGGTGTGGGCTGTACAAACCCCCAAGCATAGCGAATGGGTGGCTGCAATCATTTCTGATTTTAAATAGCAGTTGCCTCCCTACCCTGACCAGCCCATAATATAAGCATATTACAGGCACCTGATCCTAAAGGTGGTGCCTCCTTCCTGGGCTGCCACCAGTCCACCCTGTCCTGTATCTTGTACTCACGTGGTTAACTAGGGATAATTTTGTCCCTCAGAGAACATTTGACAATGTCTAGAGACATTTTTGGTTGTCACCACTGGGTGATTGTTTTTAGCATCTGGTAGGGATGCTGCTAAACATCCTACAATGCACAGGACAGCCCCTCACAGCAAAGAATTGCCCACAACGAAATGACAGTAGTGCTGAGTTTGAGAAACCTGCTCTATAGTCGGAACTACTGATGCAGAGTTTAGTAATGAGCTTATAAATGATATTAGGGAAGCAATAGCTTGAATAGTCATATCCCTTGTCCTTCCCTTTTATTCCAGGTTTTTTGCCCAGTGACTGGGAAGGAGGCTAAGATAAGTGAGACTCGCCTCTGGTCTTAGAGCCCCTCACTCTAGTAGGACCTGTTTTTGTTATTCGGAAGTGAGGGTGGGACATGAATACAAACAAATAATTGTACCATGACACCATAGGCCTGAGAGAAGAGTAGGTACCCAGGTTAAAATACCAGGGAAGGTGAGTTATACAGGAGATAACATTATATCTTGGTTTAAGAGGACGAAGAGTATCAAGTGAGTAAGTGGGATAAGAACATTCCAACTTGAAGAGAATTACATGTTACAGTGGATAGCGTTTTCAGAGAGTAGCCTGAAGTTTACTGGCACATAAGCAGATGGCAGATGAGGATCAAAGCGAAGCAGGAGCAAGACAGTAGGGCCTTGAATTCTGACCAGAAAGTTTAGACCTTGTCCTAAAGGCTTAAGATCCTGTTAAGCTAGTGGTAATATTAACTTGGGTTTTAGAAATATGGACAGCAATGTGGAGAGCAGATTAGAGTAGGGAGAGTCTAGCATGAGAACACCTAGTAATAAATAAGCTAATACAACAATCTGGGCAAGAGATGGTAAAGGCACAAACTGGCATTGACCATGGAGATGGAAACAGAATAGCAGATTCCAGAATTAAAGGTAGATGTGATAGAGAGGTTTAGTAGAGAAGGAAAACAAAGGCTTGAGTCTAACTTTGTAGATATTCACTTAGGCAGCTGCCAGAAAGGAAGCCACTTGTTTATACCTGTCTACACAATCTCAGCTTTTGTAATATGAAAAAATTTTAAATGTTTAGCTGGCTCCTGGTTAAGTGAATTGACCATGTATCATCCTTATCCTTGCCTTTGGATGCTACTGATGACTGAGAGGCATGCTTGTCTCTTTTGCTGCTATTTTCAAGTATTCAGTTTTATATGAAACATTTAAGAAAGCCAAAGAATGAAAGCATTTAGTATCAAAGACTGAGGTCTTCCTAGCACTAATGTTTATGTATTTTTTTACTTAGGTTCTTCTCCCAGATTTAGAATTTTATATTAATCTTGGGGATTGGCCCTTGGAACATCGAAAAGTCAATGAAACCCCTGGCCCTTTACCTATCATTTCATGGTGTGGCTCTCAGGATTCACGAGATATTATCCTTCCCACATATGACATCACCCACTCCACACTTGAAGCAATGAGGGGTGTTACAAATGATCTCCTCTCTATTCAGGGAAATACAGGTAAATTCAAGTTCATTACCTAAGAAAAAGCTTAGAGGTGAAAAACAATGGAGGGGATGTTTAGTTAGGGACAGTATATGTGTTACATACATTTAAATAACCATTTTCCTTATTTTCTAACCAAGAAAAAAACACAGCATGCTAAACTCTAAAGAGGTTTGTTTAGGAGCCTTCTACTACAAAAATTAAAGATACATGAGTTGGGGTAGTAATGTCCAAATCTTCCATAACTGAGTCTCTTTTGAGTTGGTTACTTGTAAATATGATTTGAACATACATATTTGGTAAAATTGTCACTTGACTTAACTCTGACTCCAGTGCCTTCCTGTTGCTAGCTAAAGTGAAAGAGAATTTTGAAAACTATGAAATCATATGCATATCTAAGAGAATATGATAGCAGCGTAATTTGGATGTAACTACCTCCAACACTTTATAAGAAATTCTCCCTTTTCCTTTTTCTTGCCTCTCTCAATTCTTTAAAACCTGAATTCCTTTCTTGCTCTTTGATGGCCTTGGGTTTCTGGCACAGCGCACCTTTTTATTAAGCTGAACTCCCTGAGTAGAAGAAACCCTGCCTTCTCTCTATAGCCTCTTTCTGTTTATTGTGGTTGGTAGGCTCCTTATAAATTATCTAAAGATAACATGAAATGAAAACTGACATACTTTTTATTTGATAACAATGAATTTCTGAAAAGTGTGCTAGCATAGTAAAGAATTTGATCCCTCCCAATTTGTATGTTTTGTGATCTATTCCTTAGAATACTGGCCGGTATTAACTGATGACTTCTCTATAGAATAATAAAAATAGATTTATATTAATTCTTCCAGAATACTTCCCTATTAGGAAAGAGAGAATATAAATCATTGTATACGTGTGTGTGTGTTTGCATTTAACAGCGTACTAGAAAAAGCTTTTCCTGTATTCCAAGTGATGTGCTCAAAACTCTGAGCATCCTAAGGATTAAAGCTGTGTGGGTGTTACTTAGTTATATAGTTTGTTCTGGTCACCCTATCTAAGAACAAAAGCCTAGTTCGTTTTTTATTGTGAAGCACAGAAGATGGAAGAAGCTAATGCCTCTGTGAATAGGCCAAGTCATTGAGTTTCTTTTTGTTTTGAACTTGATCTAATGTTATTTTGGATATTTTCTAAGGTTGTAAAACAGAAACTCCAACATTTGAGTGAACTCTCCCTAATAACCAAATGAATGAAATTAGAGCATTCTAATCCCATAATTTTTGGAAATCTCATTTACTTTAGAAGATGTATTGATGATAAAAAGAGCTTTAACATCTTCAATGACAATGATGGATTAAAGATAGTTATACTTACCATATAAAAGTTTCAAATCCATAGCAATTTTTTTTAATGGTCTCAAACTTCTAGGGCCTTCCTGGATCAATAAAACAGAGAAAGCTTTCTTCAGAGGCAGAGACAGCCGAGAAGAGAGGCTCCAGTTGGTGCAGCTGTCCAAAGAAAATCCACAGCTACTGGATGCAGGGATTACAGGGTATTTCTTTTTCCAAGAGAAAGAAAAGGAGCTTGGAAAAGCTAAATTGATAGGTTTCTTTGATTTCTTTAAGGTATGCATTTAAGTCATCCTGGGTGGATATGAAGTGATAAATTTGTAAATAGCTGGGCTTGAGCCAAGTTCTTTGTCTTGTGACCTGGGCACAGTTTCTTACCAGGCATGGAGAATTGCAAAACTCGTTGTGGTGTATTTTTGTTGTTGTTGTTCATTTTGCCTCCCAAATAGCTCAGAGCTATATTTAATACTCAAAACACAGTATAAGGATTAACCTGGAGTTTGGGTGCATTTCTTTGCTTTTCTCTTTTTGTATTTGCTTTGCATAAACTAGGTATGTAAAGGTCTTTTGCATAAAATGATCTCGGAATGCCTTTTGTAAACTGAAAAAGTATAAATTCCGTGTAAGTAAATAGGAGCCGGAATTGGGGTTAAGTCCTGCCTCCAGCCCTGCCAGGGAGGCCTCCGTGCCTGCCCCTGCCTCTGCCCTGGAGACGCAGGTGCTGCTGGCCTCGCTCCTCCAGGGCATCACCGTGAGGCTCCGAGGGGACCGGGGTGGCGGGGGTGGCGGGGGGGGGGGGGGGCGGGGGGCGCGGTGAACCACTTGACAAAGCCTGGCTGGCTAGCCAGTTCCTTGGTTTCAACTATTTAAGAAAAATTTGATTACTAAACTTCTGAGTATACCCTGTTCATCTCTGTAATATAATGAAAAGAACAAGGGATTTGGGCTCAGAGATGAGAGGTTCAGAAATTTCTCTGAACAGTAGTTTTCTCATGTGTTAAAAAAGGGGGGAGGAACCATGCCAATAACTGCTTCACATTACTGTAATTGAATGAGCTTTAATGGCCATAAAAAGTGATTCTGAAATGTAAACCCAAGTTTATTAGTCCAACAAATATGTAAACAGAGTATGTACTGTGCCACCAGTATCACACTAGTCCTTCAGCTTCTCCAGGTTTCTGTCCCCTCAACTCTTACACTGAACTCTGAAATCCTGCCTTCCTTTTTCACATATTATGGGTATAAGGAACAAAAAAAGGTAACGTATAAGTAAAATTTTAAATTATTATCAATATTCATGGGGGAGGCAGAGACAAATGTATTTAAAAATAAAGAAAGAAAGAAATGCTTGAAAAAAATTATTATTAATATTAAGTTTAATAAATATAAAACCTTTGAAAATAGTTTTCCTACCTCGTTAAAGAACTCTGAATTCTCCAATCCATAGATATAGTTGAAATAGGTACTCCTATTTCCTAAAATGTTTTGTCATCTTTAAATACATTGTATGTCTTAAAATTGACCTATATGTCTTAAAATTGACCTATTAATGGCTGCTTATGATTTTAATACACAGAGAAGATGTGAGTTACAAAATATAAAACTGTTAAACAATGAAGTGAGGAAGTAGAAATTAATTCCTTTATGTTTTGTATTACACTGTTGATGAGAAGCAGAAGTGAAGCAAATGACGGTTAAAATTTTTGTTTGTGTTTGTTTTAATCTTTTAGTACAAGTATCAAGTGAACGTGGATGGGACCGTGGCTGCTTACAGATACCCATATCTCATGCTGGGTGACAGTCTGGTTCTGAAGCAGGACTCACCATATTATGAACATTTTTATATGGCACTAAAGCCTTGGAAACACTATATACCAATTAAAAGAAATCTTGCTGATTTACTAGAGAAAGTTAAATGGGCCAAGGTAGGCTTTCTGAATTTTAGTTTCTTTAGGCAATAACAAATTCATCAGTATTAATTACATGAATTCCATCATAATGCAATTTAATTCAATGTAATTTAGTCAAAAGAAATGTTTTCTGAAATTTTTATTCCCTTGAAATATCTAAAGAATTAATATCAGTATCATTTTGTATACTCTATCAACATTTTTTTATGATTTTTAGAAGATTTAAAGACCTGCATTATGTAGAACATACTTTTTTTTTCTAAAGGAATCACTATTCATACATATACATACATGAGCAGAAACACTCCAAATGCAAGGTACAGACTGAAAAGACCAGTGGTAAAGTGCTTTATGCACTAAGTCAGTACGGTGCTCTTCTTTTCTCCAGTTAGAAAAAGACACAAGTTCATAATCAATGCCTTATATACAACATCCCAAGAATCACAATTTTCCCATAAAATGAGAATTCTTTTTCAAAGGAAAAGTTTTAAAGAACTATCCTGTTTTATTATGAAACTATGAAAGTTTACCCTTCCCTTATAAGACTTTATGCTGTTTCTAAGTTTCTAAGAAGCAATATTTGGTTATGGAAATAACTGGGTGCCTGGGACAGAGTAATTTTTGGGACCCTTTATAAAGAGTCTGAGTTACTTGCAAGGGGCTTTTCCTGTGGGCAGCATGGTAGAATATTAGGTATTTTCCCAAAATATAATTAGGAATGCTGACTTTTCCTGGAACTGACAGAACAGCCTGTGGGTACTAATGACTGAATTTTTATTGCAACAACAATATAGTCTTTCCTCGGTAACATTTTGTAACAACTTTGGATCTCTGATTGCATATTTAAATAGAGCTTTTAAGAGATATTATAACATGAAAATTGATTCATTCTATTCTAGTTTGCATTTTAATATCAAACAGAGAAGGCTAGACTAGGGAAACAGGATGAGCCCCCAGCTTCCTGGGTATCTAGGAAGGTACCAAGTCACAACGGAGTCTGCATGTGGGTTGTCGCACTTTGTGGGGTGGCGGGGCGGGGGGGGGGGGCTGTTACTGGGCCTGTGGAATAAGGTAGAAACATGCATGAGCATTTCTGTGTAACAGAGATGTCTAGGAGACTACTCTGTCCATTCCCATAGCCTTGTTCTTAAGTTATGTTTTCATTGTGTTCCATCTCTCGCATGCTGCTCATATTCAACCCCACCTCTCTCCTGTCTCAGACTCACCTTTAGCTTTGTCTATGAGTAATTTCATTCACCGTCTCTTAAACCTTTCAGGAAAATGATGAAGAAGCCAAGAGGATCGCAAAAGAAGGGCAGTTAACTGCTAGAGACTTGCTCCAGCCACACAGGCTTTACTGCTATTATTACAGCGTCCTGCAGGTCAGTGCAGAGCGTCCGTCCTGCTGGGCTGCTCGTCCTCAATCCATGTGCATGGCCTCGGTGCCTCGCTTCTGGGGAGCTTCGGAGAGTCAGCCTGTGGAACTCTGGTTAAGCTGAGGCACCAGCCTATGGAAAGTGGTAGTGCTAAGTCCCTTTGTAGCTAACATACTTTTATCTTCATTCGGTATTACAAAAACAATACTTAGAGCCTTACAAAAATAGACAAACAGCTCTTACTATCTCGTCAGTGCTGTCTTTTATTAAATGCCTTATGGAATTCCTCACCTGGAAAATTAGAGGGTTAGACTAAAGGTCATTAACAATTCTTTCTGTTCAAAATGTCCACCTCTTTGTTCTCCTTACTACTTAAATTCATGCATTTGCTATCACAGTACAGGATGGGACACAAATATTTAGCTTGCTTCATAAAACAAACAAATGAAAAATATTTATAATAGTTCTAACACCTCAAGGCTAAATAATGAAGTACTGTACAAATGTTTATTGGGAATCCAAGGATTGGTTCTTTGAGTAACTACCTTGTGTTTTACTCACTAAAATCTAACCAGGAAGAAAATAAATAAGAAAGTATGTTGCTGCTTTTAACCTAAACTTATTTGTCGTGGGCAGAAAAAAAAGTAAATTTCCTCAGGTGCTTGTGGATACTAACCTCTCATAGAAAAATTTAAATGACAAATTACACAGTTTATTAGAAGCCACCTTTTTCTTAGATGAGTTCTGTTTCCTCTGCTGGGCCGGCAGGAGTTTCCCTCCTACGATATTAATTAGGCTCATGGACTCATGGCAGTATTTTGTTGGGTTTGTACAGCAGGAGTGTACAGCTAAATGTACATAAAACCACTGAACTGAAATACCCAGTTTACAGGGATATTTGTCAGTGCCCAAAGTGGAGGAACATTTCACAGGCCTGTCACCACTTACAAAGAATGTGTGACTACAGGCCTGAAGGGAGGGGTGTGTGAGACCACCGACTTTATTTTGAGATGCTTATCATCTGATTTGAATATTCAGTAAAGTTAATTATTCATTAACAAGCAGAGAATAAATGCTAAGTGGTACTGTAGTTTCAAAGACTCTTGGCTTGACATCTTTTTTGTAGAGGCTTCCTACCAACACATGAAATTGTAGATCAGGGTTCTTTGTTAGATTGTGAAATATTACAGTAATAACTATAATAACTAAAGTTAGTAACTTTAGGACTGGAATAACCAGTCCAAACCAGACCTTTGGTACGCAGCAACTAGAAATGACAGCACAAGTAGGAAGGAATTAGTGGAATGAAGTGTGGACTGATCTTTTCATTGCCTTCAAAACACATTTCAGAAATATGCTGAGCGCCAGTCCAGCAAACCCGAAATACGTGATGGAATGGAACTTGTTTCTCAGCCAGATGATAGCACATCCATCTGCCAGTGCCACAGGAAAAGACCTTTAAAAGAAGAGCTTTAAGTCAGCCTGGATTTACACCCCTGTGTATGCTGACCGTGTCTTCGATGGAAGCATTCCCTCATCACAGCTAAAGAACACAGCTTGGAATCAGCTGTGAAGAACACAGCTTGGAAGACTTTACCAAGAGAAGACTTTCTCTTGGTGGCTTTATGTAATGTGGGTGGATGGAGCAATTTAGAGCAAGTATTACCAAGTATTTTCAGATATTAATTTCTTTTGAGTAAAACTGCTATTATCAGTATCACAGTTTCCCTAAACGAACAAACAAACAAAACATCCTTGGGGATCATAGTAGAGAGGCTTGCCAAAATGTACATTGTTCTCCAGGAAACTGTATACATCATTTTTTTTTTCATGGAAGTTAATGACTGGGTAATTTCTGTTAAGTATACTTTATTGATTATGCTATTACAGTTGTCCTACTTTTCCCCCTTTGCCTCCCTCCACCCAGTACCCACCTTCCCTCCAGCAGTCCGCCCCCGCTTAGTTCCTGTCCATGGATCATGCATATAAGTTCTTTGGAGACTCCATTTCTTATACTGTTCTTAACTTCCCCTTTTTTGTTCCTACCAATTTATGGTCCTTAATCCCTGCACTTTTCCCCCCATTCTCCCACTTTCCCATCCCAGCTGATAATCCTCCAACTGATCTCTGTATCTATGATTGTGTTCCTCTTCTGGTTGTTTGCTTAGTTTGTTTTTATTTTTGTTTTTTAGATTCAGTTGTTGAGAGTTGTGAGTCTGTTGTCATTCTAATGTTCGTAGTTTTGATCTTCTTTTTCTCAAATAAGTCTCTTTCACATTTCATGTAATAATGGCTTGATGATAATGAACTCCTTTAGTCTTACCTTGTCAGGGAAGCACTTTATCTGCCCTTCAGTTCTAAATGATAGTTTTGCTGGTTAGAGTAATCTTGGTTGTAGGTCTTGCTTTTCATTGTTTTGAATACTTGTTGCCAGTCCCTTCTAGCCTGCAAAATTGTTTTTGAGAAATCAGCTGACAGTCTTATGGGAACTCCTTTGTAGGTAACTCTCTGCTATTCTCTTGCTGCTTTTAAGATTCTCTTTTTATCTTTAACCTTTGGCATTTTAATTGTGATGTGTCTTAGTTTGGTCCTCTTTGGGTGCAACCTGTTTGGGAGTCTCTGTGCTTTCTGGACTTGTATGTCTATTTCCTTTGTCAAATTAGGGGAATTCTCTTTCATTATTTTTTCCAATAAGTTTTCAATTTATTGCTCTTCCTTTTCTCCTTCTGGCATCTAAATGATTCAGATGTTGGCATTTTTGGAGATGTCCCAGAATCTTCTTATACTCCCCTCATTTTTTTTTTTAAGTTCTTTTTCCTTCTTTCTGTTCTGGTCGAATGTTTACTTTTTCCTTATGTTCCGAATCATTGATTTCAATCCTGGCTTCTGTCCCTTCATTGTTAGTTCCCTATTGGGTTTTTCTTTATTTCACTTACTGTAACCTTCACTTCTTCTCTTATGTTTTTGCCATACTCAGTGAGTTCTATGACCATCCTGATCACCATTGTTTTGAACTCTGCATCTGATAGGTTGGCTATCTCTGTTTCGTTTAGCGCTTTTTCTGGAATTTTGTTCTGTTCTTTCATTTGGGCCATATTTCTTTGTCTCCTTAATTTGGCAGCCTCCCTGTGTTTGTTTATGTGTATTAGGTAGAGCTGTTTTGACTCCCTGTTAAGTTGAATGAGACAGAGTCTTAGTTATTCGCCAGGGCAGGGCAACCCACTTCACCACTTTGTGGCTCTGTGTGGGTTGGAGAGGGGTCAATGCCACTGCCTGGCTTCTGGAGGTTTGCCCAGCACTCACCCAGTTTCCAATCACTTCACCTGCTTCTCATATGCAACTGGCATACCTCAAGCTGTTGCCCTAATGGTGATTCCCAGAGTGGGTGGGTTTACTATGTTCTAAGTCAGTGCAGACCCTTTAAATGGATTCTTCTGAGAAATCGGCAGTTTCTTCCACTGCCCCAACTCCCACTGGTTTTTACAACCAGAAGTTATGAGGCTCTATCTTCTCGATGCTAGAATGCTGGGCTGTGCAGTCTGGCCTGAGACTGGGATCACTCGTTCCCATGGTCTCACTCCTGATTTTTATCCACCACAGATGAACGTGGGACCTCCCATTCTACCACCACTGCTGTCACCTCTCCGCACCACATTGCGCCCTCTTCACCCCAGCTCTGCGACTCCATCCCTTCTACCCATCTGGATGAATATGGCTTCTTTAAATCCTTGGTTGTCAGAGTTCCATACAGTTCGATTTTCTGGCAGTTGTTTTTTGTTTTGAGGTTAGTTGTAATTCTTTTTGTGGTTGCGTGAGGAGATGAAGAGTGTCTGCCTATGCCTCCATCTTGACCAGAAGTCTATATGTCATATTTATTAATTCATTTTTATTCCTTGTTCATTTTCCTTCTTCCCCCTCTAGTTATGAAGAAAAAAATATTTGTGCAGTATTTTTTCCTCCCTCTCACTACATCATTTCTCCTCCTACAAGCTGCTTTTGACATTCAGTAATAGCAAGCCTCTTCTTGGAAGGCCTGATAAGAATAAAGAAGAGGATGACTCTGTTATTAATAGTACCTTGGATTCTATGGAGGGAATATATTTTTAAAACTCATTCATATCTTTTTTAGCTAAGTTTTACCCATACCCGGGACAAAAGTAAGGAGAAATTGTGCCTAAAGCTAGTAATTTCCAATCTATCTGGGTTGTATACTCATCAAGGACAAAACAGTTGTTAAAATAGACGAGAGCACCCTGTAGGTACCATTCAATATCTATTTACTGAATAGACAAAGGTAACTATCTATAGTCAGGTGGGGATCCACAATTTTTAAAAATATTTTGAAGAGACACTTGAAAACTTATGCAATAAGCTGCAGGAAGCCTGGTGTCTTGAGATTCCCTAATAAACTGAAAACAAAGGTAGACGTCCATTCCTCACTGCACCCCTCCGCCATTTCATTGGGTTGCATTGCGAGGATAAAAATTGGAGATTTCCTCTGCCTTTTAGGAAAGGATCCAGACTTAAGATTTATAGCCCAGAAATTCATTACACACTCCTTGTAATACCATCAATTCAAAATTCAGTTAACTGAAGAACCACACTCCAAAAAACAACTGTCCACACTCCCAACCTTAAAACATTTACTCTCCTAATTAAAATATTTCCTTAACCTGGAAAAAAATGTAACCACCTTAAAGTAGTCATATCTATTCTTTTTTGAACATCAGTAAGAATTTTCTTAACTAGGTAACAGCAAAATCCCATTTAGGAACAATGTAATCAAAACCAAGTATCCATGGAAAACTCTAATACCCAAGTTTTTCAAATGCACAGTTACACAAGTATAAATAAAGGGCCAGCTATACTGAGACCAGACCTTAATGAATCTGTGTCCTACATATATTGTACATAGAGTTTGGGGCCCATCAAAGCTGAGATACAGAAGGCTTGCCCTCCCTCCTATCTCCCTGCTCTCCAGCCCCAGGTCCTTCCTGATGGTGGTTGTTAGAAACATCTTAAATTCTTTATATTTACGTCACCTGCTGCCAAACAGTTAAAAGTGAGTTGAGACAAACCAGGCAGCTTTTGGGTGTGGAACAAAAAGGATGTGCTTAAGAAATTAAGTGGAGCACTTCAGGGAATTCCATGAGGAGGGAGCACCCTTCATCTAAATAATCCTCCATCGTACCAGTTCAGTAGCAGCCTTTAAAAAGTGTTAGTTTTACAGGGCTTTCTGGTTTGTTGACGTGAACATAATTTAGTAAAAATGAGATTACTAAAACTATGAGTCTGTCCTTTTTAGTTCACATGTTACCAATGATTTCCATTAGTCATTAATACTTTAAGTTTCATGGAAAAATATCCGATTTTTGAAAGGAGGAGAGGGATGTAAGTATATGCAAATAAATATCATAACTGCATTTGTCTAAATAAGCTATCAACATTTGTTGTGGCATTGTTTTTATTAATAAATGTTGGAAACACCTTAAATAGTTATCATTAGGGAATTGGCTAAATAGATATGAATACATTAAGGACTACAGTACAACCATTGAAAAGAATGAAGTAGCTCTAAATGTACCATCATGAAAGATTTCCATAACAGTGTCCAGTGAAAAAATCAAGTTTTTTCAAAAAAACGTGTAATATGCAACCATTTGTGTAAAAAACATATATCCATGTGGTTGAAAGTTTGAAAGGCTATTCATCAATATCTGAGGAGGGGATGGAGAAAGGGAATTTATACTTTATGCATTATACCTGTCTATGATATTTAATATGTTTTTTACTATAAGTGTGAATCAGATTGTAAAACAAGGAAATGCAAACCTAGCAGAAGACAATGCACAGAAGGTATACACAGGAAAACAAAATGAATATTTATATTTTCCATTACAGTGTTTTTAAATCTACTATGTGTAGAATTTTATATCATGGAACATATTATATACGCTTTTTAAATAAAGTAAAATTTTTAAATAACATTTTGAGAAAGATAAATTTTATTTTTTAAAAGAGATTGTAGTCACCAATAATGGTATTTTTGTATTTTTGTACCTGGGTTTCTCTAATTTTAATTCCATTAGGTCTTCATGAATAAATGAACCAAAATTTCTATCAGCACCACTCAGTCCTTACTGAGTAGAAATCTAACATTAGAGGAAAAGATATTTTTACTTGACACCATTACTTTTTGTTCTTTCAGGTGAAAATACAATATGTGCAGTATCTTATTCAGGTTGCCATTATAACAAATTACCATACACTGGATAGCTTAAACAGCAACTATTTATTTTTCTCAGTTCTGAAGGCTGAAAGTCTAAGATCATAGTGCTGATAGACCCAGTGTCTGATGAAAGCCTGCTTCCTGGTTTGCAGACTGATACCGTCTCTTTGTATTCTCACATGGCAGAGAACAGAGAGAGAAGAAGCAAGCTTGTCTCTTCTTATAAGGGCCCTAATCCAACATGAGGACTACACCCTTATGACCTAATTACCTCCCAAAGGCTCTGTCTTCAAATACCATCATATTAGGGATGAAGATTTTAACACATTAGTTTGGGGCAGGTTGGGTACAAACTTTCCATCCATAGCAGGAAGGGAGAGGAAAATGGTCCCCTGGCATAATAAGGCCAAGGTAGAAGAAATAATAAATTTCTTGTTTGTAGAGAAAAGAATTCTGTATGGTAGTGAGGTATGTTTGACTTAAAACAGTAGAGGACAAAATTGCTAGAGTAAAAATCCCTTTTTTTAATGCACAGAATCACAATTTATCCTCTCCCAACCACTGCTGCTGAAAATTCACCACTGCTAAATTTTCCAGATATCAAGATCAAGCCAAGTTCTAAGCCAAGTTCTTTCTATAGAGCTGTGTGGAAAAGGAAGCCATTAAACTTTACTCTGATAATCAACACTGCAACATTTCTTAGACACAAGGACAGTAAGAGACTGGGTTTTTTTCCTTCTATAGGAAGAAATAACAAATCCAGGCAGGTGGAGAGGGATATGTAGAGGGAGATAAGACAGCCAGAAGTTAGGTGAGAAGGGGAAGACAATTAGAAAAAATATATATTTTGGAATCCTTTGCAGTGACATAAAGACTTGTAAAGGGGGAGACTATTAGAACAACATTCTGTTCTGGTTACCACAATGAAAGTTTTCTGTTCCCTCTGAATAACTCTAGAATATATGTCAAGTGTAATATACAATATAAATTTACATAGCTAAACCCTCCAAGCCCTCATCTTGATTTTTGTTCCCTCGTTCATTGCTACTAATGTCAGTAGAGAAGCCCCTTTTAAGAAAGGGCAATCCTTAACAAGAGTCATGAGGAAGACAGATTTCTGTGCAAAGAATTAGCTCTTCAAACTGCTAAACCTCATAACATGAGTACTGAAGTCTGCTTGGAGGCCCTTCTGGCTTCCTGCAGGCCACTGCAAGACTTGTACATTTGATCCACACCCATTACTCATGTATGACAGTGATTTTCTACTACATGATATATTTATAAAAAGATCCCGTGCTCACATTCAAGGGCGGTCTTGTCCATTGCTGGGGTTCGTTCCATTGCCAGAGCAGTAGAGGAGAGAAATGGTATGTAACTGTGGCTCCTTCACCTCTGCAGGAAATAGTTCCTCTTCTCACTAATTCATTTTGTTCCCCCATCTCTTGTCTTTGCCTTCTAACTGGAAAGCAATATAATTAATTTTATAAATATAATACTATATGTTGTATAATAAGAAAAAATAAAAGAGAGGAAAAAAAGAGGAGTAGAATAAGGGTATGCAGAACAGAGAGAGGGCAGGCAGGAAGGAAAGATTTCCATAAAACCACCAAGAACTTTCTCTGAGTTGCATTTCCTAGTAAGATGTTCCTAGACTTAAGCAGGTGTATGTAAATGCTTAAATAGAAAAACTGATGGTTTGAGTATTAATGATCCATTGTGGTTGCATTAAAGAAAGATACTTTTTTTAAAAAAAGAACTGAAAAATGTTTACATGTGGTAGAGCAATAAAAAGAGGTCTGAGCCTATCAGTAAGAAATTACTGAATTCTTCTATTAGAGGCAAAATAATATATGCTTGAATAGTAACTATTTATAATTACTTTGTTAGTAATTCAGGTAGGCATGTCACTAAAAATATGTAGGGCTTACTTTAAAAGTAATATATAAACAAGGTAGGGTCCCTTAAATGTATTTTTCTGGTTCATTTTCTATGTTTAAAAATAAATCTTTTTCTGAATTACTGGCTCAGTTTTGTAGTTTTATAAATTAAATTTTTTAAATTTTGGTGACATATACATCAGTTTACCAGTAACCATATTTAAGAGTACAATTTAGTGACATAAGTACATTCAACAATGTTGTGAAGTTTTATAGTTTTGAATTTAAAATTTTAGTTCTAGTTTCTATTAGATTAAAATATTAAACTCAGGTATACATAATGTTTCCATTACTATATTTTTACAGTTTATTATTCATAGTCACTGTGTATTTATGCATCAAAGTAACTACATCAAAGGGAGCTAAAGCTCATCCTTCCTACTTATGACTGTGATAATGATTTTAAAGAGCTCTGGAAGCTCAGTGGATCATTGAATTAGCCTACAGAGAATTTCTTCAGAACAAATGTTTTTATTATGCAGGGAAATTTGGGGGGGGGGTGTTTTTTTATACCCTAGACTTTCATCTTTCTTACAAACTAATTGTATTACATGAATGAGCACAGGAAGGAATAGAGCTGGGCAGTTTCTGAACAAGATTATTCGACATTGCAATAATTGGTGACAAACTAAAGCATTGCCAAAGTTTGATATATTTACATTTCAAGAGAATCAAACTTGCTTTAGATCTGCAGTAGTTGTATAATTTTAGGTTATCTGGAAACTCATTTAAGAAGTCATCAGTTTTCACTTAAAAGTTGGTTTAGGGTTAACCGGCTAAAGAGCTTCAATTTAGCAGTAGCATTGGACTGCAGTCACGTGTCACTCATTCTTGGATCCTGAGCAAGATCTGCCAAATCACTGGTAAAATCGGTGTTCTTATTTACAAATGAATAAATTAATTAAATAGAAAAGATTTCACTGTATTTCTCCAACGTCTTTAAAATCCTGGTTGAAGTGACCGGAATTTATAATATACTGAGTCCAATTTCACAACAATCCCTTAGGTTCCCCTCCTAAAGACCTTTGCCTGAAAGCCTGTAACAAATCACAGTGACCGCACTCAGGGGTGGAGAAATATCAGACACGAGGGCGGGGCCGAGAGGCGGAGCTCAGAGGGGCAGGCCCGGAAGAACCAACGGAACTAGGGTTACGTCTTTCCGTCTGCGGTTGGTTGATTGGTTGGTTTGTCTGTCTGTCTGTCTGTCTGTCTGTCTGTTTGTTTACCGAGGACAGAAGCGAGCTCAGGCTGGCGGCGGTTGGCAGGTGAAGGGAGTGGTGTCCCCTCCTTCTCAGCCCGTACCTTTAGTCTTTTCGGAGACTGGTTTCAGCTTATTGTTTCAGAGCCTTAAAGGCCCCGTGCCGTTGAGGTCCGCGCCCTGTACAACCTCAAGGAAGTTTCGTTACTCAGCCCCGACTCGGCCTCAGCCTCTCCTCTACTCTCGCCCAATATTAACCGCTTCGCCCGCGCTTCCTCTCCTCGCCCTGGGGGAACAGGCGCCGCTCAGGTTGGGAAGCGCTCCCTGCCATCTGCCCGTGCACACTTCCTCACTGCCGCACCTCTGTAAAGGTACTACTGCGTCCACCTTCAGGCCGAGGGGGAAATAAATACTCATTACTCATTAACCGACGTCACATTTTTTCTGGACTTTTTTTCTTTTCTACCCACGAAATGATTTCCCGTTTTTCCATTTAGTTATTTAGAGGTGGAAAAGGGAAACGCGTTTTTAAGGAGTAGGTCAGTAAGTTGTTCTCCTTCGTCTGCTCTTTGTATAAAAAATCGGAGGAAAAGAAAAGCGAAGCTACAAAACCGGAAAAGATCACAAAAATTCTTTCTTCAATAAAACAGTAGGAGAAACGAAATGGGAAGTATAGGTTCTGATCCCAGTATATTAGTTTTCACACTATTTTCCAACTTAATAACGTAAATGGAACGGAGAATCTGAAGATGTATCTTGTACGGTTTTTCTCATGAGGCTTGAATGGATCAGCGAAGCCACTGTGTTGTGTTACTGACTTGGGATAGACAAACTCTTTTATCTCAAAATCTGCAAGTAAAATCTTTTATTATCTGAATAGTGGTTTGACCGTACTTTTTAGTATCTTAGGATTTATTAAATGTTCTCACACTGGTGAGTTTATTTGGAACCTCGTAATACCCATATGACATCAGTATTTTTTTTATCAAAGGCCATCAACTGTGCTTACCTCCCTTTTCATCCTTGGACCATATCCCCTTAAACTGACTCAAAAGACTTTTATCCTTCGATGTATCCCTCTCTTTTACATTTAATTTCTCCCTCACTACTGGATCATAACCAACAACAGCTTCACATGCGTTAATATCTCCCATATTAAAAAAAGACAATCCCTTGAATATATTCCCATAGAAGTCCAAAGAATTGTTACTATTCTCAACTCTTTGAACCACTTCCACAACCATCCCAGGCTTCCTTCCTTGCTACTCCACTGAGACAGTACTTACCAAGGTCACCGTCAATTTTATCTGGCCAAGTCTAATTTATTCTCAATTCACTTGACTTTTCAGCAGCATATGACACAACTGAGCATGTTCTTTCTAGAAATATGTGAAAATTATTCGTCAATAATGTGAGTCACTCATTTCTGACTCAGATAATTTTGAATACTGGAACATTTTTCATCATTACTTTCTTAAATCTAGACAACCAACAAAACA